TTCCTAAAATCAACAGGCAGAAAAAAGATGGTATGAAGTGGTTTCTGGTGTGTCAGTGTTCCCTTTCAGTTCTGCATTTTAAAGGAAGCTATTGAAGAATGCAGTTATTCGTTTGGAGGCCCCTGGAAATGCAAGCAAAGATCACAGTGTCTTTCAGCCTAGCCACGGATATGGGGAGGAAGGGAAGGAGAGAGCATCTTTGTGCTTAAGTCTGGGTTAAGCGCTATAGTGATGTAATTCTTTGCCCAAGGTCACACAGCAAATCAGCAGCAAAAGCAAGAATAAAGCCCAGAACCCCAGCTCAGCACACCATTCTGTAGACCCCATCCACTTAGCAGCAGAACTTATGTCCTTCAGCCTAATTAAACTCATCCATTCAGTGAGTAATTTAAGTGCAAGCAAAAGTAAATGCCAAGTGACAAATTCTACTGTTGCTGGAGATTTTAACTTGACTCAGGAGAAGGTGCGCCCCTGAACGAATCTACAATAGGATCAGGAGCTGTTTTATGCCTTCACTTTGTCTCTTGTCTGTCTGTCAGTCTCTCAGATAAACTGTGTAAGGTGAGCCCGGTATAACAGAGAGATAGGTCGTGGAAAAGAAACAGGTGAAAATAAACTTCTCCTTTTATTTCAAAGTGCATGAATTGAGTATTAAAAAAACCCCAAGAACTTGGCCACAAGTAAGTTACATAACTTAAGCCAGTCTAAAATTATGTGCCAGCAATTTACATGAGTTTTATGTAACTGTTTATACTGCTGTTTATTTAAAAATTACTACTTATCTTGGCGACCGCAGCAACACATCGTGCATTTGCCCGCTCTGGAATACAGGGCACCTTCATTAAAGCACATAGTCACCAATATATTAAACACACAAAAAAAAACCCTGCTCTGACATAACATGAAGTGTCAGATGGAAAGCCGCAACAGCAAAGACATTCAGCGTTCACAACAAAGCAGCCCTTTGGGGCGTTCAGAACAGCACTGGAACATGCTCCATCCTTAATTCATCCAACAGCTTTCAGGTTCATTACAGCACAGTTGGTACAATCTACAAGACCAGCTCTTGTTCCTGGGCTCTTATAAAGGGCCCTCTTCATCTTTCTATGCTTGAGTATTTTTATATTCAACTTTTGCAGTGCTGAGGTTACCTCACCTTTTGTTCTATCTTAAAGTCCCAAGTACTTCAGTTTCCCAAATGGCTGATACTTTTTGTTTGCTACCAGAGCAGTCTCTCCCAGAAATAAGGCAAAGGTTCAGCAAAATCTTCACGATGGGTGCTCCTGAATCGCCATGATTTTTTGATCCAGATTAATCACAAGTGTAAGACCATGGTTGTGTAGCATCATTCTGGTACCAGGAAGAGCTGTATGTGTCCCACGTAGCCAGAAAGTATGAGTGACACTGATTTAATAGTCGTAGGATTTTGTCCCTTGTTTTGGGACCTGCTGAGTGAACACAATGCTCTACCTCTCTTTGCCTTCATTTTCCCATCTATAAAATGGGTATTCACATCCTTCTAAAAGGTTTAAAAGCCAATCAATGAGTATGGTATAATATTATGTATTATTTTTAGCCAACCATTACAGCAGAAAGCTGAAATCTGGCAATGTATTACAGCAGATATAAACTTCAGTTATAAATTCCTTACGTTGATTTGCATTTCTTTAGAACTATATCATAGAGTTTTCTTCTCACTTGTGTCAGTAAAATCATGGGAGAAAAATTGTTAAAATCAAAAGTAAGCAAAAAATTCCAAAATTTGTTATGAGTTTAAGACAGATCTCATGAGTCAGAGATTGACATTCTGTCAAAAAACAGCAATGCTTCAGTGTATCCTGTTAATATGTTTTCAGTAGTACATTGGAACAAGGGCAAAAAGAAGGCACTATTCCAAGACAGCTGTTTGAAAAATATTTATTTTTCAGTTATGGAGGTTTTTATTGAAACTGGGGGGCAAGAGTTTTCCAAATGTGAGGGTTTAAAATGCATCTATTTGAAAACCGAACTTTGAGTAACTTTGTAGAAACCATCTTGTTTTGGTAAACCTCCTTTAAAAGGGGGATTCTCAATTTTAACGATAACCATAACCTGATCCACCAGCTAAGACCATATTCCTGTTTTCAGTTTGATGGGTCTCAGCCACCACAGCATAAGGCATCACTTGGCTGTGTAAGGAGAAGCACAGCTGAACTTCAGCCTAGCAGCCAGCAAGGACTCACTGGTGAAGGGGCTTAGAGGGTTACCCAAACCCTGCAGTACCTCCTGAAAGGACTAGGTCCTTTCCCTAGCAAGTAGTTGTCCTTCAAGGGACTGGGAGATTACTGTGTCACCCCACAAGTGGATGAGGGTGTTTGTACTGCACATGAGGCTTCACTGGTGTGACCTGGGACAACAGTTTGCTCTAGAAGATAAGGACAAAGCTGTGATTTATTCTTTTAAACTCCACTTCCTCAGCTGAGAGCTTTAAAGGCAGTGTCAGCCTTTTCTCCCCTTGGTAACTCAGCTTCTTTCTCTGAACTCAGTACTCCTTGACTATTTCTGAGAACAAACTGCCATGCTGTTACTAGTCTTAATACTAGTACCATGATGGTCCAGCTGTACACATGCTGGCAAATGTGTAGGATTGCAATCCTGTTTAGATTAAGGTAGTGAATTCCTCTCCAGGCAGAGAACTCTAAATATTAGGAGCTCCTTTCCAAATGCCAGAATACAAGTGGATGGCTTGAGGAGACCCACATCAAGAATAGGGCTGCAATGTTTATTTGTGTAAGCTACCCAAACATAAATATACCATCTGAATTTCCAGTTTATGTTTGGGCAGCCTTCAGTCCATGGAACAGCTAAAACTTTGGGAAGCTCAAAAGCCACTTGAAGCTGCTTATTTCACCCTTGGTTTTTGTTTTGTGCTGCCTAAAGTGCAACCTTAGCCCCGCATGCTGTGCAGCACACTCAGTCATGCTGGAGGCTCCAGGGAAGACAGGATTTGCTGCCAACGCCTGTCCTGAGTGACATGATCTTGCTTTACATGAACCTTTCTTTGAAAGGAAGAATGGTATCTGAAGTGACTGCAAGCCTGTTGATAACGTGTTCAGCAGTTCAAACAGGGTTTCTCCAGCTTATCCCTCTGGAAAACTGACATGTCTAAGTTTGCAGCATGTATACAATGTCCTCAATGATTTAATACAGTGGAGTTATGAACCCTGAAAATCGTGGTTTACAATGGAAAATTTGACAGGCCATCAGGTTCAAAGGCACTTAAAAGTATTCCTATAATTAAGTTGTCACCAAAAGCCTACAATACAGTACCATAACATTCTCTACGTATTCAGACTAATGTACAGAAATAGCTTCCACTAAAGGTGGCAGGAATTAGGTACTTAAAACCTTTGGAAGAGTAGGAAACTACCCTCTGTAAAAGTTCAAAGACAATAGACAAAACCAATATCCTTTTCATTGCAGCAAGCAGAAAAATGTTGCAGAACATGCTGTGCATTCACAAACTGCAATCACAGAAAAGGAGCAATTAGGAGAGAAAGGAAAAATGAGTTGTGCTATTGATACTTGGCTGCTTTAGAAAAATGTGTTGGCAGTTAAATGCATATACTGAGCGCAAAATTCTGTGAAGCCTTTTTCTTTTAACGTGAAAATACCAGTGTGACGCAGCCAGAAGATGAAAATTCCACATGCTGAAATTAAAATACCTTTATCCTCTGATCCAGGCGAAATTATTGACTTTTATACTAACAAATATGCAAAACCAGAAAGGTATCTAGAAACTATTTTGTGAATCTTAAAGGGAAAGCTTTGGGTTGAATTCTCTTCCTTGATGTAAATCCAGAAAACTGATGGAATTTTCCCATGTCTACAGTAGAATAAGAGATTATTTTCACTATGGTTTTGGGAGGTTTTCCTGAGTTTGAGTGTGAGGGTGCAAGTTACTAAATCCCAGAGTTATGTCTCCAGGATTAACCCTAACCCTAATCATGGTACCTGTCATTAATAACGTATAATTGAAGAAAAAGAGGCTGTCCCTATACCTGCAGCCATCAGTTCCCCACTTGCATAGATTCCCTTCTTAAAATCCCCTAGTAGGTTTCTGAGGCCTATTTCAGACTATTTTATATCCACATTCATTTTTGCAAGTATTGGGAAGAGTCCTGGCAGCAGGACTACTCCTACATGAGTCGTCTGTACAAGTTGATGGGAGCACTCTGGTGAAGGTACCCATTGTAATTTAGGCTGCTCGATAGGTTAGGAGAGACGTGTCAGCCCAATGCCACTTAATTCCCTTTAAAAGCGGATACAACCTAATAGATCCTTGTGGAGCTCTGTAATTTCAGTGACCACAGCAGCATTAGGCTTGGACAAGAGAGCCAGAACCCACTGAAACCAATGAAGAGACTCCAGTGAGTGTCGGATCCAGTCCAAGGAGGATATTTCTATACAAATTAGCCAGGGTTAGGTGATGAAAGCTTTGTGGACCTGTGGAGTCCAAAGGACTCTCTGACTATTCCTACCTCTGCAGACCCAATTGCAAAACAGCCCTTTTTGTCAGTTTGGATGTGTAAACTGCCAAATGGCATTAGCAGGTCCAAATCCTTTACCTACTCTTTTCCACTACTCTCCTTTCTTTAAAAGGAAATTGTTTAAATGAGGGCAAATGTTGCCTGAATGTAGTTTGTATTGCAGTGTATGAGGTTAGAGTAGATGATCTCCAGAGGTCCCTTCCAACCCTAACAATTCTGTGATTATGTGCATTTTTAAGCAATCTTTCCTGAAAAGCTTTTGAGCAGTATTTTGCTTTTCTCTCTCATACACAGAGATGTAGTTTAATTATTGTCCGAAGTTTTGTTAGTTATTGTTAAACATGGCTTTTAGTACCCACATGGAATGGGCAACTGCTTGGAGAGAAGTTAACCTGTGAGTGATTCGAGTACTTTGATATCTTCTCTTGGACTGGTATTTGATTTTATTTTCTCCTGCTATTTGTTCCCTAGTGGAATGGAGCTGTTCAGAAGACTTTTCTCCTTTGGCTGGTGAAATAATTATGGATAATCTTCAGTCTTTGAGGTGCACCATCACAGGTCTCAGAACGGTATGTGCCAAGGGACTCATTCAGGCCTCAATGTCCCCTGCTGCCCCAGGGATACAAAGGCACTGATTATTTGCTTCCACGCCTGTTGGCAATAACTGTAGAGTGCCTTTCTTCTAGCAACAAGTTCCAGTCATTAAACATCATATGTCTGGCATCCGTAATCTGAAAGTCACAAAGGAATAGACAGACAGCATGAACTGGTTTATGTCATCTTAGGGGAGATCAGAAAAGGCTGCAGTGAAAGATGCTGTTTTCTAGATCACAGGATAATCTTAGTGCAGATCAAAGGCTCATGGAAGATCTAGACCTAACTCTGATGACCAGCAGCTAAAATAACAGTTCTTTCTCATCTGCTTTTTCCAGGAACACATATGATGATGGCAATCATTTTCATTTTTGTTATTTTTGTATGGTTCTTTTTGGCAGGGCCAGAGGTATTATGTCCATGTTTCAGCATACAACATGAGAGGATGGGGACCTCCACGCAAATCTACTCCTGAATATGCTTCTCCTTCAAGTAGGTTGAGTTTGTCTGCCCTCCTAGTTTGATTAGTGATGTTGATTTGTAAAAATGCTCTGTCTTCAAATAACAGAAAAAGACAAATATTCCAGAGTGGATGATTTAAATGCTGCCTAGGAGTGAAATAAATAAATAAATAAAGCTCAACTCCTCCCACTCCTGAGAAATAACCACAATAATCATCTCTGTATATTTACATGTCTTTTCTGCTAGCCTTCTCCAGTCCTTTGACAGAATACTGTTGTCTAGTCACTAATGCTTAAGAAAAAATGAGAAATATTTTAACCTTCATTTCTCTTAATAGAGTTCTGCTATATGGAACCTCATTTCTCAGTACATGAATGGATCAAAAGGTGAACCAGAACTCGTAGAAGCAAAACACAAGTATCATATGTAATTTTGTATTCTGCCTTGTAGCACTGTAGATCCCATTCACTGGACCATTCCTATAGCATCCTGTGTATAATACGCCCTAGTGTGGACACACATGTTGATAGAATCTAGCCTGTATACACTGAAATGGTCTAGACATGTCCAAAAGCCTTTCTCTCTTTTCAAACCCATGACAGGTTTTCTCAGACTCCATTGGGACTGTGATTTTTCATTTGTAATTTTTAATCTATTATAATGACATTGTATTGTTGGTTGCTTTTCCAGACTTGTGTTCACTGCCAAACTGGCTCAGCATATGACAGCTTCCCTTGTATTGATAATGCAGTAAAGTGGGACTTCTCCTTTTATTGCATTAGCACTTATTTTTATTAGGCTAACATAACAATTTAATAACCTTGCATGCTAATGTGAAGAAATAAAGCAAGCTGTACCTATTCATAATGGCAAAGGCTGGATAAATGAGGCTCTTGCAGTACCATTGAAGCATCTTGCTTCAATTTTGCTCTTGTTTATCACAGAATAAAACCAGAACAAAACTAAAGAAATATTTTGTTTGGGAACAAAAATGTGCTACAATCTTGGGACAAAATTCTGCTCTTGGCTACATGGATAACTCACTACTTCAGAGCTGGTTTGAATAACAGTGACATGCAATTACCTTGACTATAGGCAGGTATATCTGTACAGGATTGGGCCCCCCAGCCCAAACATTTACAGCAGCTGAGAAGCAGACTTCTGCAGTAGCTGGTAGTTATTCAGCTAAACATCCCCAAAGCACTGGGCACCCCTGGCAAAGCAGGTGGAATTTAAGGCTGTATCTTTGTATGAGACACACTTTTGATTGAACATGATGCATTGTCTTCCCTGTCTATTTCTTGTCCACTGTTATTAACCTGAAATCTGACCATACATGCCAGTTCCAAAGCCTTGGGATGCAGGGGAAGTTCTCCTGCAGATTTCAGTGGATTAACACAAAACTGTACAGAGAATTGAGCTCATTTCCCATGTTTTGTGTCTCAGGGACTCTGAAGTGCCTGGGATAATCACTCTGGGGGTGTTTCTCTGAAAGGTAACAAGTCTTTTGGATTTCCCTGTAGGAAAGCAGGAGCATCATTTGATATATATGTGATTTTTTATGAGTTTATGGCAAAGAGAAATGTTTATTCATGGTTATATATGTATGTTTTCTTTGTTGATGAACACAGAAGCATTAGGCAGACTTAGCTCACTGCATATAGATAGTTGGCAAGAAAAGGGTATTTTCATTACGTATCCTTAGCAGCTTAAGCTTCACAGCAAGAGAGACCCTCACAGCTTAAATGTAAATGCTTTCATTAAGTAATAATATCAGAATTGTAGCTTGAAAGACAAGATGCTGTTTACCACTGCAGTTACTGGGGGCAGAACTGCTTTACCCATGACTGCCTTCACCACTGGTTTTGAAAACTAGCAGACTTGTGCTTGGCAAGCAGGCAGCAACTTGAAATTACACCAGTGTTGCATAACAAAATATGGCCTTAAGCTAAAAATTAAATGTGAATACATTAATACTCTACAAAGCTGTCTGTAACGGCAGCCAGAAGAATATGCAAGGGAAATTAAAGCCTCAGGGCTTAATCCTGATCTATTCCAATCCCAGAGCATCAAAGTGACATCCTTGTAGATTCATCTGTGTAGCATGACAGTCAATGCTTGCCACTGTCCTCCCATCTCTTCCACATACACAGTAGCCTGGAAAGTGGTGGCCAGTGTTGTGCAGCTGGTCTGTGAAATCACAGCAGGCACTAACATTTCTAGGCTTATTCACTAGCATATGAGTGGTGGGCAGTGAGGGATGCTGGTCTGACTTCCATGTCATGTTTAAAGGTGTCAGCAGTCTGGGGTATCAGAAACGTTGGAAACCTCTGGAACAGAGGAATCATGAGGTTGTTCAAAACTCTACCAGCCTGATGACACCAAAGCACTTTGGGGTTGGCTGCTCACAGGGGATCTAAGAACTGGTATCCCCACACAGAGCTATAAATGCAGTCAGCCCTTGATCTCTGCAATAGCATACAACATGCAGGAGAGCCTCTCTGCAGCTATTAAAACTGCCCACAGGCTATCAGGATAGCAAATGTCTTCTCTTTCCACCCTTTCATGGGGCTTACTCTAGCTGCTCTATTAAATGGCAGCAAATACATATTTATATCCCTGGCATAGTGAGCCTATTGGAAGGAATGCTTGACTCCAAACTTGCACTAGAAACTAGATCTGTATATTTAGTGAGTGAGCAAACTGTTGGTGGCTGTGAATACACACACAGCCTCTATGCCAGCAAGATGGAAACATGTCTCCCTTGCAGACAGATCTCTTACCTTGATCCACCATTACTTTGGGTCAAGAAATCAGTGCAATGCTTTCTTCTTATAATAAGGAAAGTATGAAAATAAGCGAGTCTGGAATTACAAAGCTCCTCTCTAATACACACAGCTTCATCCTCCTATTTGTGAGGAGATTGTTTGCTTTTTAAAATGAAGATTGTGATTGTAGCAAGCAGCACATGAGTGAAAACAAAGCCTTTTGTAGGTTGGAGGTATGTAGGACAGAAATCGCAGCTTCTTGCCTCACGAGTGCAGTGCTGAGCAGAGCGTGTGCTCCAGGGCAGGAATCGCCAGCGTTTGTTCAAGCATCTGCTGAGAGCAGGTTTTCAGAAGTGATTTCACTCAGAGCATGTTTCTCTGGCTGCAGAGCTAGCTCTGGATGTAGGAAGATGCTCTTTCTCTGCTCTGCAATCAGTTTCCTATATAACTGTAGAAGAGTCATTCAGCCTCCTGGGGTGTCGCAAGCGGAAGAGCAGCAGTGTGATCTTAGTGAGGTACCAAGAGTGTCGGTGCGGTATGGGCTGAGAGCAGCTCTGGCCCTGCAGCAACAGAGGCCACTTATGCACTGAAGAGAAATAGCCATTGTCTAGTCAGTCACTAGAGGAGCTTCTAGGGGCTGATTGTGAGCTCTTTGTTAATAATCATTATGATGAATTACCCAACTGGCACAAGGCAAAGGAAGTTGATCGTCCAAGTAACAACAGCAAACTTACAAACAACTGCCACTTTTTCCTGCATGCCCAGATGTAAAAATCCTCTAAAGCCAGGAAGTATCAGAGGCACGAAAATGTTTTAAAACCTTCTCCTGCACCTTTGTGCTTCATTTCTGTTTGTTTCCTTTGCTCAACAGACTGGAAAGACTGCAGTGGAAGAGAACCTCGGCACAGGGGACACACTGAGGCCCTGGAACGCCTCCTTCAGCAGGTTCGAGCAGCTCATCAGCATTATAATTGCAGAGGTAAGGATGAATATCTATGTGGTAGGGCACCAGCTGAAGCCTCTGCGGCGCCTGTAATTTTAGCAGTTTTCTAACTAGGTCATACCTTCTCATTCATCAGGAAAAGAAAGATATTAATATTGGCCCATCTGGAATCACTTTAGTGCACTATCTTGCTCTTAACCCTTGAAATTAGTTGGATGAAAACATCCGAAAGCTACAAATGCACGCAAGCACAGGCACAGCCTTTCTCCCTCTGTACTCTACACACCTCTTGCTTTGGGGTTTTTCCTACACATTAGTTTCACACCAGATTTCACCACAGTGTTTCAAGGATCTCCCTCATTTTTTCATATAAAGAAATACTTTTGAGACTTAACAACTGTTTTGGATCAAAAGCGGGGACTTGGCTGCCTCCAAATGGAAGACACTAAATACTCCAACGGATGTGATGCCAATGAAAAATACTTGCACAATGCAGTGGGAAGATAAGATTGCTACGTTTTCAAATAGAATGGATCAAAACTAGGACAGAGTTCGAATCTCAGCCAGCTTTTTGCTCTTCATTCATGAGAAACAGACTGTGCCTTTAACAGCTCACGAGCCAAGACAACAGCTTGGCATTCTTTTTAAAGCATATATAAAAACTCCTCTTCTATATGGGTTGTTGAAAAGTACTATTTATTTTCTTAGAATAAACTTCTAACTGGAATAATGCTTCATTGCAAAGGAACTTATTTGAAACTGAAAAGCTGAACTACCATGAAGTTTTCATTTTTCTTCCCACACTATGACTGTTATGTCAAGCTGCACCAAGTGATTTAAAACTATAGAAATACTTAGGGCTAAAATCATCTGGCTGAAACAGAAAGATGCAGGTTTTGTTCTTTACGTGCAAATATGTCACTATCACGACGATCCACAGTCTGCAACAACCCACTGTAACCATAGCAACTTAAAGTAGTCAGCTGTGTTGCTTGGAAAGGGAAAGGAGATACTGCAAGAAAATGTTGTTTCTCTAATTAAAATTCATACAAGCATTATCACTTGCAGGTGGCCTTGCTACTGAAAATACAGATGATGTATTCCATCTCTTACATAGTTCTTCATGCATTAAAGGAGTCTTTTTTCCCATGGTACAGTTTTCCCTTTCTGAAGTTTGTGGACATCTCAGGTCTTTCAGGTCACCTTCCTCGTAAACAGGGAAAAAGTGACGGAATTTCAGAAAATAGTATAAATTGTTTTACTGACATAGCAGAACAGCAGCAGTTACAAACAACATGCAGAAAAGCCTTTCTTTTGAGAATCTGACACCAGTGCCTGGTTCTTATAAAATCCCACTGCTCCAGAAATCAACCCCAGTCTCAAAGCAAAGCACAGACAACTCTGTTGTTGATTTCCTAACTCCCTTTCCTTAAATAATAAATAACAACAATATAGAAAATCTGTTTTGCTCAGAACGTTTTCTTGCATGTCTGAAGGAGGATGTGGGAGCTTACATGTGGCAGTGCTACACTGGGGAGTCAGCCTGAGCAACGCCCTTGCCTCCAACCAAGTAAAATCTCATAATTGCTTGTAATGCTAGCATTACACAGTAGTATATTTTGGATAAATCAGGATTGTAATATAATAGAAGAGCCTTTGGAACTTGCCTTAAATATATGACTGATGCCAATCCCATGTATTTCAGTAATTTGGTAAAGAATCAAGACAAAGAGTGTGCAGAAAATTAAGAATTATGACACCACTTTGACTCTGAAATTTGATTCTGGTGAATCTCAGTGAAATCTGAGGACTTTAATCAAGGATCTCAGATAAGCTACTGTATATGTCTGACAGACCCAAATAATGGCTTTCACTCCATATAATAGAGAGGCCTGAGATGCATTCTTCATTAACGTGAATTAGCATGATTCACCTGACAGGGATAGCAGTCAGCATGGATATGCTGTGATACACAAGCTGAGAACCTGCCCAGGCATTTATCCCTTCCTTACCATTCTTCTCTTTACCTCTCTCTTCTTTGATTAGACATTAATATTCTAACCTCTGATTTCTTCAGTTGTTTTAGAGATGTAAATAGCTGGACATTGTTTGTAGGGTATCCCTAAATCTGCTTACAGCCACTGATTTGCTGTGGCTTATAAATAAGAGCAGAATTCAGCTCTGCATGAATAAAAGCCGGGTGAAGACAGAGATAGGACTCAAACCTGGTGTCCTGGCACCTTGGTTTTTCACTAAGTGATTACTCTGCAAGGTACCACGCTTATGGTGTTCAGGCTGGTTCAAGGAGTGTGGAGGGTGAATGCAAGGGATTGTGATAAAAAATGAGGGTAAAAGATCTGACATTACTTGGATAACACAGGCAAAAGCCTTAGAACACAGAGGAGCTGGAGAAGCCAGGCTGTGCGCTAGAGCTCCAGTGTGACCTGGGAGGGGTGAATTGCCCAGATTCCAGGCAGATCCCTTGTCCAAGTCTGCTCATTCAGGCTTCACACTGCAGCCTGCCTTTTGCCCTCTGCTTTGCATTGCAGCGGCTAGAGAAAACAAGCTTACAAAAATGCCAGGAAGAATACACTGGAATGTACAGTGAGTTTAAGAGCTTTTGGAATTAGATCAGCTGTTGCTTTTGAACCTGCTCTGTGATATGATGAAATCTCCTAGGGAATTACTTAGGAAGCTTTGCTTTCATATGTTTAATCTTCTGGAAAACCCTGATGATTACAAACAACAGTCATCCATTTGTCTTCATAATACCATGCTACAGACTATGATAACTGAGTTACTACAATTGTATGTCCTGGCAACACTTCAAATGTATTTTTTAAGTATTATTTTCTTGTCATCATTCTTCCTAAACAATTCTGAGTGGATTAAGCAATTGTGTGATGCTTCATTAAGAAAGGAACCCAACTCTTCAGTAAAATGCTTACCAGATATTTTCCTTCTGAAATTTGGTTGAAATGTATTTTACTAGACAAGTCAGAGCTGAAATAAAAATATTCTAATCATAATTTGGTTCACAAGCAGGGCACATAGGTTTATTGCATTTAACAAAGAGAAGGCTCTTTGATTGCACCAGGCATTTAAAGAGTTTAGATTACAATTATTTGTGAGAAAAGATAAAATCAGGCTTGAGAACCAAGCCATAGACTGGGAAGTTCAGGTAGGGAATTAGAAAAGGTACAATTTCAGCTCTTGTGCTTGGCTTTGTAATCCAAAATATACCTCTCAATGGTATGACTGTCATGCTAAGAGCTGCTCATGACATACAGAATTGTCTTGTGAAAGACATCTCACCTTGAGGTGAGGTAAAACAGAATCTGTCATGGTCTCGAGCTATTTAGGTGTCTGGCCACTACTTATGCCTTTAACTTCTGTGTGGAATTATGTCTCCATGCGTATTATCCCAGCGTCAGTTGTCTGCACTGCTAAAAATGTGCAGTGTTAAATTGAGTTTGAATTCATCTGGAAGTTTCCAGCTCTTGGATGTATTTTCATAAGGTTACACAATTAGTGAAAACTCTAAACCCCATTTTATGCCCTCCACCAGGGTTTCAGTGGGATCTAGCTCATTTTGTGCTAATTTACTTCCTCATTCAGGGTCACTCTAAATGATATTTAGCTGTTCCACATGCCCTCTGATTTGTGGGGCTGAGATCTCAGATGATTTTGCACTGAGGTAATTCCATTTCCATACACTTCACATCTGCCCCACTTGAGGAGAGGCACCCGCTTGTCTAGTGATAGGACAAAGAATTCCAGATGATCTTCCTCCTCAGAGAAATGGCACGGCATAACAGACATTCCTCTAGAGCAGAGATCCCAGATGCATGCTGGCAGCCTGAGCAGGCAATGTCGTTCTTACTCTTCCACAGCCGACTTATGTTCTTTTAAGTATCTTCTGTATTGAAGTGCACTGCAAAGAAGCATTTCTATTTTCTACCTGAAAGAGAAAACCTGCTAATGCTGTAGTTAACTGCCTGTTTTACTCCAGCTTTGAATGCTTCTGATCTAAATCTAATCACTGGAAATTCTCCGATCTCAGCCACTATCTATTCGCTCCTGAGCATCTATTAAAAGAGCTCACAGCTCTATTGCTGTATCATTTATTAATGTTGTTACTGGTGCCTTTCTATAAAGGTTACTCTATGTTATTTATTACTTAATTAAATAACAGACAAAGTTCTATTTCCTGTAGATCCAAATTATCTTCTAATCTCAGCTCCATGGTTTTTGGCTTCTAGACAGACTATACTGTAAAACAAGCAAATAGCAATGTAGGAGTTCACGGTCTCCATCTAGTTTTACACTATTTCTTTTGCTGTTGGCTTCTGCAAAGCTGTGGACTGAACCCAAACCACTGAACAGCCCAATAACATATACTTCACTTGTAATGTGCCCTCTTATTTTAATGCTGCACTCTCTGGGTGCTTTATACAGAATTATGTTGCTTTGCCTTCAGCGATTTCCTCCTCCATTCCCTCCATAGAGATGGAGGCAATAGAGAAGAAAATAAAAACTGCATAATGAGAATGAAATTTATATTCCTAAATTGGTCTTAACCTTGGAAGAAGGAAGCAGCAAGACAGGAGGTCTCATGTACCATTTGGTTTCCATTACTGTGATACACCGAAAAAAGGTCACAGTAAAATAGAAATTATCTCAGGAGATATGGATAGAAAAACAAATGGAATTTTTTTAAAGGAAAAGAAAGCAAAGATCAGTTGCATCAAAGGAGCAGTCATGGCTTTGGATGAGTCTGTTAAACCTAAACTGAACAGCACAGTGGAGAATATGCCACGGAGAACAAGTCTGCACTGGAAACACAATGGATTTGATGATCTAATAAGTCTCATACATCGTGCATGAGTTCACCCCCAATAGAACCTTGTTCTCTTTGTACGTACTGTTCAGGAAAGTGGTAATTATTGCTAACAATGTGTCTTCTTTCCGTGGTTTTCAATGTGAAAATTACAGTGCGAATTTATGCATCATTTAAAATATGTTGAGCACTTCCACAGATGGGGTTTTGACAATAGCACATTTAGACGTTCTTTAAATGTTCAAACTTAGAACTCACTCAGGAGACACAGACAGACACCTCCTATTCTGCACTGAAGATAAGTGGGAAATATGTTACTCTGAAAGCACCTAAGCAAACTGATCAGCAGCTTTCAGCAAATGGTTCTTCATGGGATGTATTTTTTCCCCACTGGAGAAGGGTGTCCCTCAACACGTTTCCCACTTCAGGCTTGATGGGTACCCGTGCTTCATCCAAACCAAGTCAGATCCTGGGAAACGGTTTCATTTTTCTTTTTGTCTTTCTTTTCAGATTACAGTAAATATCTGAGGAATTAATTCCTATTTTAAATCAAATGTTTCCTCTGTTTCTCTTACAACAGCATTAGACAGGAGAGACATTGCAAAAGACAATGCAAAAGAATCCCAAACAGTTTTAAGCACCCATTCCTTTTAAATGCCATAAGTGGACAGCAACTGACAATACATTTTGCAGTACACAATCCTGCATGTTCCTGACTGCCATCTATTGGCATCCCCTCCAAAATCTGAGCACAGGTACACAGGTGGACACGGCTGCTCCACAGAGCTTGGGAGTTCCAGTTCCCACTGGGAGATTTTTCCTTGGCTTACAAGGAAACCCAGGCCATGTGTGAGAGAACGAAAGACTTTAAGTTAAATTCATCAAAGTGAAAAATAACACCATGTATAAAAAATTAACCACGTTTTCTACAATATTAGGCAAAAGATTTGACTTTATAAAATTCTTATGTTAAGTGAGCTGGTCCAGAGGTCCTTGCAGGCACATAGCAGGTCTCAGCTTTACAAGAAGTGGGCAAATGAGTTAAACAGCTCTTCCTTGGATCCCAGATGACTAGGGAGCAAATGTAACCATAAAAGCTCTGAAACAATACATGTGAGTGGAAGCTGTTGTGATGGGGGGAAATATCCAAGCAACAGCACATGCACTTAATGTGATATAGAGAAAGATGAGGGTCTATCTAGTTCCTTAAAGCTCTCACTCAGGTCACTTTGATGATGTGCTATTACTGACTGCCACTTATTCAGTTCTTAGAAGCTTAAGTTATGTATGGACAGAAACTAAGGAATTACAACACCCTAAAATGCTGACTGATGGTTCGAGTATTTTCCTGGGTTTTTGAGACCACTTGCAGAACTCATATCCATTCTGAACATTAACAGCATGCAGTTCTGGTTCAAGCTGTATTTTTGCCAAGACCAAGTTTGCTGCAAGTAAGAAACTTACTTATTGTTACGTATCACTGACATACTGAAAATATAAGCAAAAGGTTGTATTTGAGCATGTTTCTAAATGTTGTCTTTTGAAGGGAATACAGTGGGCCCTGACTGAAATTTAGTGTTGTGGTTCAACAGACAAGGGCTCTTTATGAGACACTAACTGGAACTAAAGTGCTGGGTTTGTTTTGCTTTTTATTTTCCATTTTAGAAAGCTCTAAACTACAGAATGCTGGTCGCAAGCAATCTGTTTCCAGAAGCTTGAAGCACCTTTTCCATTCATCAAACAAGTTTGTGAAGACTCTGAAACGGTTTGTCATTTATTTTATCTCCCAAACATATCAAGTTTTAGCTAGCAGTTGCTGCTCTTATAGCGAAAAGCACCTTAGAAATGTATGTGAATATTCCACTGGCAATGAAACAGCAATTGATCAGAATGAAACTGATAAGCACATGTAAGACTGGTGTAGCTCATAGGAAAATATGCTCCAGTTCCTACTGAAATCAACAGAATCTTTTTATTATTACTGTTGGAAATGGATTTGAATTGTACCAGAGTGAAATATTCTGCTCAAACACACGTGCAGTTTCTGAGGTATTTTGGAAGCGCTGCTGCTGCTGCTGCTGCTGAGTAATGAAACTATGGTATTTATTTCATTTATAATACAAAATGCAGAGCTCAGGTAACATGTTTTAATAGTCCACTGGCAGCAAGCAACACATCTAGAATCCTCCAACATCTTTAGCTAGGTTTGCAACCCAGTGTGACCCAAACAACCCTCAGCCATGATGATTTGGTTTAGCACACGGAAGCTGCTTATGCTGGATTATTTCTTTTTTCATTGCCAGGAGTGTGCTTTTTCTTCTTTGTATTTTGATAAGAGTTTGATTCTTTCAGAAGAGCTCTCCAGAGCCTTTAAATTCCCTAAGGCAGCTACTTAACGTATGTAACTAATTGCAAGGGTAAATATTGAAAGGAATGATCTCTATAAACAGTTTTGAGATATGCTGGCCAAATTACACTCAATTACACTAATGTAAATCCATAATAACCCACCTGATTTCAATTGAGTTACTTTAGATTTACTGTGAAGCAAAGGAGGGCAGAACTAAGCCCATTAATGATAAAAAGTTTAAGTAAAATTTCTGATTTCTAAGGGGCATAAAGCCTCTATTGTGTACTGTTTATGCTGGCAAAATCCTTACTGAAGCTGATGTCAGTGGCTTACAGATTCATAATTTCTTAGATTCCTGTAGTCTCACATCATCTAACGTGATAAGCTTCCCAAATGGGTTTCAGAATTCACTTGCTGAAGTTGCATACGGAAGTTAAGACCAGATGATTGTATTTGTCTCCTCGGAACTTAACATCTATGATACTTTGACTGAAATTTGGCATGGATGTGAATAAACATGAAAGGTGTTTGATAATAATTGTTTCCTTCTTTCATCAGGGGACTCTACTTAGCTGTTATATTTTTTTACAAGGACAATTTATTAGTAACCAATGAAGATCAAATCCCAATTGTGGAAATTGATGACTCCCACAGTAGCTCAGTTATGCAGGATTTCCTGTGGTTCACAAAGGTAAGAGGAGCCTAATTTCATGTATTGCTTCTACCAATTTGTTGCTGGTAATGCACAGGCGTTAGCTCATCATTCTAATATATGAAACGATGTCATTAAAAAGATAACAAACCATTTATATGGGTTAAATTCTGACTGGGTCACTGGCAGTGGCACAATTAACTCTTATATGTAGGAGCCTACACAAGTGATGGCTACTTAGGTACATAAAGGGTTTACGGACATTTAGAGGAAAAGCCTAAAGAAATAACTAGAAAATTTAAAGTTGGTATTACGTTTACGCCATCATTCAAAATATCTTCACACTATTTCTTATAGGGCAAAACCCAGTAAATCAGTTTTACACATTAGGCCAGAAAGTAACTGAAATAGGTGCATGATGGTTGCAGAACAACTTCTGTGTCTGATTCAGTCTGTTTCATGTTTATCTAGGCAAGTCACTGCCACCCGCCGACACTCAAAATGAGCAATAGCTACTGGTTTTTCCAAGTCCAAAATGCTTTTAGTTTCATTTCTGCTTTTGTAAAATGCTGAGAACAAAACCTCATTGAACTGCGTATATTTTTGCAGTTGTCTTGCATGTGGGATGATATCAGATGGCTAAGGCAGAATATGTCTATATCCGTGTCCTCATCAACAACGCTTCAAGCCAGGCAAAAGATGCTTTCAGCAGCAGCACAGCTACAGGTTGGTTGCTTCGCATATTTCTTGATTCACCCATGCCTTACAAACTGCTCAAGTATAGCTTCTGGGGCAGAACTTCACTGTTTGACCAACAGGATGGCTATGCTTTTGTGGATTGTCAGCAGGGAAGTTAAATTCAGTCTTTCATTGAGTTCCTAACTGAGCTGCAGACTTATTTAAGGTGAAATGCACCTTTGTGCAGAGAACCAGCAGAGACCTGTTTAACCCTTAAAAACAGAGATTAGAGAGATTCAGTGGTGCACAGGTCCTGTGCTGACCCCTCAGCACAGTGGTAAGGGCAGCAACACTGTGTGCACTATTCATATCACATTGTCAAGGCACAGCACTGACCATCAGGATGGTTCTGTTCCAATCTGTGCTACAAACTGAGCGGTACTGAACAGGTCACTTAACCCTTCTGTGTCTCAGTCCACTATTCCATATGCAAATAATAATGGCACTCTCTCCAGCAAAACATTTCGACATGTATTATAAGGCTTTTGAAGAATGGGTTTCATGATAAGCTGAAATCTCATGAGGTTTTTACTTTTGTGAGAAGATTCATTTTCAAAAAGATGCGTGCATAAATCTCATAGGAAAAGTATATCCAGGGCCTGCTTTCTCCTACCTTTTGTTTGAATGAAGTCACCAAAGCTTCCCAGAAAAATCTATGGTACAGTCATGGAACTAATGAAGACCTTGATATTGCTTGACTCATGTATTAGCCACACAACCATCCCTCTTGTTACTGCCAGCCGATGCAATAAGCTGGTTTTACAGCACTATGAAACCCAGATACTTTGTGACCATTATTAAGAATATCCATGTGGGGTTTGTTTTACATCTTTTGGCAAAGCCTGCTGTACAGGAGAGTAGCCTTCATGGGCAACCACCTGTCTGGACTGATTTCCCCAAAGTATCCCGAAATATCTGGAATGCCAGTCTGCTGTACCTTTATTGGAGGACCACCTGTGTTAAGCAGCAGCTGCTTGTCAGTCCTTTGAGCTGTCACTAGAGAAAGTTTTAACTGTATCTGCTGAATGTTCCCTCTGGTGTGGTTAGCTCAGCTTAGGTAGCACAAGCTCTTTTGGTTAGCTCAGTTTCATTCCCCCTGTGCTGATTGCCTTTAACTGAGCATTGCTAGGATGCACTTGGAGATAACCAAGGTTTCTAGTACATTGTGTTATTATTTGCTACCAGAGATGTTAAGAGCAGCACTCGAAGCACAGAGATACAGCAAATGTGTCCATGTGGCATATTGCTCTGCTGACTCTCTGGCAAATTTATCGTCCTTAACGTTTGTTCTGTTAGCTTTGTCCCCTGATGAGCACAGGGATTGTCACCGGCCTGCCAGCCTCTAACGGTGTGTGGCCTAGTGGGATCCACCAATGGAAAGATCTCAATAAAGTTTATATGGTTGAATACATTTTATTGAGGCAGTTAATAGACTGGCTCTGCAGGAATTCAGGACAGAATGGAAAAGATCAGTGACAACACAGCTGCTAAGGGACTAGATCAGCAGATTCAGAGACAACAGGGACAGTAATTTTGCCTGTTGTTACTACTAGACAACTAAAGCAAACAAAACGCAAGTGGTGGGGTGCCAGCCTGAGCAGAGTATATGAATTTTCAGTATATGAATTAGTCACATATTCTTATTAGTAAGTGCTTCCATTCTCTGTGCTGCAACACCACTCAGAATATACAGTCAGTGACAGTAAAGAACTGTTTGTTTCCACCTAGGCACATTCATATGTTGCAGTGATTCATCTGACAACTGGATGGCTAACATCTACCTGCATGGTCTGTCCCACCTGCAGGCACATGGATTGAAACAAAATGTATATTCAAGACACCCAGTGTTAATCAGTTACTGGGGCTAACCTCAAAAGGCAGAACAGTTAAAAAGAAGAGGGGAGGTGCCATCAACAGTATGCCCTGGAGAGGGATGCATAAAGCTAAAATAACTAAGTTATGTATGCCACGTAAAGGGCAGTCACTGTGCTGGCTACCTAGAGTTTATAAGCAATTTAATAATACAGTTTATAAGTAAATATTGCCTGCTAAGTACAGATAAATAATTTCAGGATAATCTATCCATTTACAATGTCATTAAGTTAATGTACAGCACTTCCCTAAACATACAATGTGCTACATTGTGAATTCAAGTTCTCACTTTAAACCACCCCCCTACCTACCCAGCTTACTGTAGATCTCTTGAAAAGTCACAAAGTAATGAGCATATTTTAAATGTCAGGCATTTTTCTTTAAGACATCTGGGAATCTCTTCAGTGGCTGGTCAGTGGATTGAGTGTGTTTGCACCTATGAGCAGATGCCTTACTGTGTGAGGAAAGGGATTTTGACCAAAATATGTATTTTATGTGGAGCCTTTTAAAATTACTTTTCTTTAATCCTCACATATTTTCCTGGAGAGCTTTGCCCTGGGAGTTTGTTCGTTTCTGCTGGTTTTGTCTAGCACATTCTTGGTATCTGAAGTAAAAGGGCCCACGTCTCTTCAAATTCTTCTGTGTTCCTTCAGAAACACACTCCACAGTTTAGCTCCAAATTATTTACATTCAACACGGATATGAGGGCCTCTCACTTCTGTTGCTGAAAATAATCTGAATAATTTTAAAACAGAGACCAGAGAATGGAGATTACAATTAGAAAACCCTTGGAAGTGTCCATTTTGAATGATTCAGGGATAGACAAAGAATTTCATATCATCGCTGACACTTGGTTATGGGGAGTTGAAGATAAGCACCTAGCTCTTGAGTAAGTTCAAATCAGAAGGGCCTCATTGATACCAAAGGAGTCTCCACTAGACCAGCACTGAGTGCTTTTGGAAAGTGCACCCTTGATCTTTAGAAGACAGAGGAAAAATAAGAAGTTCTGTCTAAGTAAGTGAATTACTTTGTAGTGTTTCCTTTTACAAAGGCGCTGGGTCATAATGGTCTTTCTGTTCTCCATTAAATGTTAGACTAAACACGGCTGAATCAAATGCGTCGGAGGATCCACAAGCACAACCTAGGGAAAAACTGTTCCTTTTGCCACTAAATGATATGATGTAGGGCAAGTGTTTGAGAAAGATTGTGTGTCTCGTTGTTACTGAAGTCACCAGGACTGATGTCAGTGAGCACAACGTTACGTTTCAACATACACCACTCTCCTGCTATGTGACAAACAACTTTTGGTTTATGATGTGCTTGTTTTCTAGAATTTGCTGGGAACTCACAACCTAGGCAGAGTTTTTTACGAGCCAATCAAGGATCGACATGGCAATATGCTGATAGTGACTATAAGAGAAGTGGAGAGTCTTTATTCATTTTTCAATGGCAAATGGATGCAGGTATCCAAATTACAAAGCCAGAGGAAATCCCTCTCAACTCCAGAGGAGCCAACAGCATTAGACATCTTGCTTATAACAATCCAGGTAGTGCTTTGCTTCTCTTACTGTATGTTATTTGCTTTTGTAAAGCCTGCGCCAGAGCCCTGACTTTTGGAAGAGTCTTGTAGAATTTTAGGCCTTAATCCAGTGCCCAATAAAATTAATGGCAAGGCTCCCATTGAAAGCAAAGACTTATATTACTTCCAGTGGGTCTGGGATCAAATCCTTAATATGTAAAATATCCATGAGATTCTAAAGAAATAACTTCAAAGTCCTAACACAGAATAGTAGTTTCTATCAGTTTCGGGAAACCATGCTACAGAATTCACAGAAAGGGATATAAAAACCTTTAAAATTCTCTGGGATGGTTTTAAGCACCTATACAGACACTTAAAATTTCTACACTCCATAAGATTTTTCCATCCAACCTTGGACACTAAACCTGGGTTTAAAACCTTACTGTTCTACTTAATAAACTTGTTCTGTGGGGTTCAGAGTTCCTTGGAGCCTGGTATAGCTGCTAAAGAATTCTTTACTGACCATAGCCCTCCTTTAATTTCTGTGTAACATGCTCCTACACTTCACAATTAGGAAAATAAAAGGTAAGGATTGATGTTAGGAGTCACTTTGCATAGTTAGTTTAGTTAACATCATTGAGAGCCATGAGCTTTCAGCCCTTCAAGAATCAGGGTTATTGGCAAACTCATGTTAAACAGTAATGTTAAATACTAATACATGTTTTCTGTAGGGAATAACAACCTATGTCTCCCAAAGTGTCAGTAGCCAACTCTAAAACTCAGTTGCATGGTTACCCAAAATATTACAAGACAAATCACTTAGTCCCTACTTTAGCACCCTTGACTAGACGATGACTACTGTGGTTAGGTTTGAAATAGAGGCACTTTCTTGGGCAGAGACTGTGCTTTTTGCACCGGAAGCTGAGAGGCAATCAAATCACATTACCAGCTTTTAGGAACATTAAAACATTTCCAAAAGACAATAAAACTTACCTGAGCGATGTTAGATTTAATGTATTAAAATGTGTTAAAGGTGTAGAAAAATGTCAATCTGGGCAGAAGTTTTATATTAGGAAACCCAAAATACAGGCCTGGTCACATTTCCACAGAGATCCTAGTGGAAAAAATGTTCCCCTGGTGGTTTACACATTCCTATCTAATGCCCACCCTTTCTTCTATTACTTGTTTAATCATCGAATGGGTATTTTGTTCATGAAGTGCTTGTGAAAATGAGGGTCTAATTGCATTGGTCAGAGCCAAGTACAGCACTGGCAGATAATTTGATGGTTCCAAGAGTAAAGGCATAAGGCCAGGTGTCTTAATCCTCACCCGCTGCAGAAGCACACATTTCTCAGGATGGCAGCAGACATCACTTTCAGGGTAGTTTTGGGAGACTGCTATACATAGCCTTAAAAGCATGTCCTGGCTTCAGCAAATCCTCCATCATTATTAATTCTTTCTAAGCTCTGTTTGTTGGTAAAGACATTTGTGCAGAAAACACAGCCGTTAATTAAAATTAGCAAACCACCAATGGCGGTGCTCAGTGAGAGCTCCCTGTTGACAGCAGGTGACACAGAACAGGCAGGCTGGGACTCTGAAGGGATTTCTTTGGTGCCAGTACGGGCTTATACAGCTCCCTCTCTCCCACCTTCCCCAGGGGACAGCTTTGTCCCAGTGCTGCTCTACTCCATCTGTGCAGCTACGTGCCAAATGTGAACCAGGGAACGGCTCTGGCTGCTCCTTTTCTGAATTGTTTTTCAGCAGAATCAATTCCCTGACGCAGCTCACTGCAGAAATGACCAGGCAGGAGTGCAGAGGTGGGTGCTCTATTTAAGCTAGTTTAAATACTACTGTTGTGGAAGATTGAAACCTCAGGTTTTAGACTCAATTCCTACATGACATTGAGAGCTTAGAGAACTTGTGTATGACTTTAAGTTGTCCAAGTGCATCCAAACTACCAGAGATTATTTATATGCTTAAGCACATACTTAAATGCTCTGTGAATTGGGAACACTTGAAACAAAAAGATGGCTGTAAAAACATTAGTTGCTTTTTATCCCAAAGACTTCCCCTTATGTGGAAAAAAAAGATGAGATTTTTATGTAGGACTGTTTCTCTTCAAACAGGACATACTCACCTATCACAAACGAAGTCAGCAGCGCCTCCCTCCTGGCTTGTACCTGGGTTACCTTAAACTCTGCAGTTCTGTGGATCAAATCAAAGTGCTCGTGTTGCAGAAGTTGCCTAATGTCCTGTGTCATGTTAAAATCCGAGACAACAGCAATGTCTCCAGGTAAGTGAATACATACATACTTACACAGACATATACATATTTACACAGAACATTTGTTTCAAGTTTAAAACAACTGATCAAATTTAAACGCTAAGGCAACTTTACCATTGCAAAATTGTAGGTGCCAGCAAAGTCTGGCTCAGGTGTGTACCAGCACAGACATCACCACCGAACTAAGGTGGACCTGTGTGTTTCCAGCAGTCTGAAGGCCTATCCAGAACACATCCAGATGAGCCCATTGGTTTCTAGGAATAGCATTATGTTGTTCGCTCAAACTCCGCACAGTGGTAATGATCTTCCATATATCTGCTAGGAAGATCATAGCCTGCATCCCGGATTCAGCCTCCAGTGAATTCAATGTCATCCTTTTTCCTGATTTCTCCTGACCATGGGGTGTTGGTGGTGATTTTTCTGTTTATTTCCTTGTGTAATACCTGGTTTCTCTAATCCACGGCAAACATACATCAATTCTAAACACATATTCAGACAAATGCTATCAGCCACTGAACTTCTGTGCTCTGGAAAGGCCATTTTTCCCTTTGTCCATTGCTTCCCTTTTCGACTGGGCAAGTGCACTTACTTGTACTGCCTGGTCCTTGCCTAGTGGGCAACATATTTTATTCGCTTCCTTCTGGAGCTTTTTAATCCCTTATCATTCCAGCAACCAGCTGATAATTTTGCACGGGGACAGGAACCGGCTATCTGCATGCACAACAAGGATATCCAGAATGTAGTAGTTAATATTAACAAACATTTTGGAAGGTATATAAAGCCAAGTGCTTCAGAGTTTATACCAATCTCTGACTCTTGAAGTTTAAGATCAGATCTTTATTTAGGAGCAAACTGTACCACATCTATTACTCATCTACTAGTGGGGTTTCCTGTACTTTTTTCTCTTGAATGTTTGCTGCTGGCTGCTTTTCAAGACTGAATACTGGGCAGAGTGCATTAAGGAATTGATCCAGAAAGATGATTCCCATGTTTATCAGGTCTAAAATGGATATATGTCAAGCAAACCAGGAAGTTCTTTGGCTCCAGTGAGTGGAAGAGAGTCTGCCACAGAAATGAAACTTCCTGCTAATTGTCACTGCTGTCATTTCCAATGCATGCTTTTGAAAACGTTGTGGTAGATAGGAATGAAGTATGTGAAACAGAAATCCTGGAGTGAGAAGCCTTGGTGAAATCTTTTAAAGGCACTTGGATTTTCAGGGTTGCAAGGAATGTTCAGCTTGATGTACATGTGCTAGAAAAATCACACGTCTCAAAGTCAGACTGTTAACCACAAACAATCAGGGCTGCACAAGTTTAGAATGTTTTGCTATATGAGGATTAAACTATCAACAGATCCCAAATGCACATACACTGAATTCCTGCTTGTGCACTGAACTTTTGTTGTATTTCTAATTTTAACTTGACTCAACATACAGAGATGAGTGGGAATGGATCCAAACACTTTCTGGCTCAGAATCTGTGGAAAGTATGGATCATACTTCAGACTGCCCTACTCAATTGTTCTTGTATGAGCTCCAGATGGCAGTGAAAGCTCTCCTTAAACAGATCAATCTACCTCTGCATCAGGTATTTTCCTCTGTGGTATTTATCACCTTCTTAAAAACTGATTCTTAAGCACACAACTAAAAGCTACAAACTGTGTAACTTGCAAGCAGGGATTAAATGATATGGTTGCAAGAAAAGAAAAGCAGAGAAGTTCTGTATTCCATTGTTCCAAGGGGAAGGGGGTGAGAAGAACATCTTTAATAAACCCGTTATTTTCCTGGATATCTGAACATACAAGGATTAAGAAACAATTTTCAATTAGCTCCTATTTTTTGCATCTGCTAGCATTTGTGCAACTCGAGGCAGGTGCAAAGAGGCACTTTTGCATTAAACTAGTAGTTGTGAGAGCCTTTACCCAGCTGGCAAAGAAAAACAGGCTATTTTTCCAGGCAAGCAGGGCAATAGACTGTTCCTCTGGAGGCAGCAGTGAAAGCGTATGAAAAGCCTACTGAAGACACAGCATTTTGTCTTCTGGAGGCAACAGTGAGAGTGTATGAAAAACCTGCTGAAGACACAGCATTTTGCTATTATTTTACACATAGACAAACGTAGCACTCCTAAATCACATAGCTCTACACCTCCAGATTGCTGTGGGTGAGGAGAGGTATCTGGCTTCTGGCTTTACATTTATGTACAAGAAATGTGCATGTGAATAAATAAAGTCAGGGGGGATAATCTATGATGTGAAAGATCCATGAAAAAATAAGCTAAAGAGTTTGTTTCTTGTTTACATGAATTCCATTTTATTTTGGTCTACATGGGTAAAGAGGGCTTAAAGAAGTAAATCATCTTTATATTCGCTTCGAGGTCTGTTTGTGCAGCTAGAAAGATGTGGCCTTACAATAAATTAATCTGTGTCTACATTTCTTGATTTTGAAAGGTTTAGGCTTTGCTTTTAAAAAGGAATCCATCAGTGCTGCACCTTCTAGCCTGGGAAGAGCCAAGTAAGACTCAAGTAAATCCAAAATTAAGACAGATGGTGTGCTGCCTTGTGGTCAGTCACTCTAATTCAATAGAGCTCTGTACAGGTCTCGAGGAGGGTGTATTTTCTTGGAGGTTATAGCTTTTGTGTATCTTTTTTTTTAACCTAGGAATGTGCAATATATTCCTTAGGCTGCAGCTCAGCCAAGCCTTTAAGCTCATCTATTGTACACGAGAGATAGACGTAAACATGACCTTGCAGTTAAACAGTTGTAGATGTTTTGATGGCTCAAGACCAAACTCCTGTGTTAATTAATTCCATTTTTAATTTAACAGATTTATTTATGTATTTGTATTATTTTGGTGGTAACAGAACAATGGGCAGTGATGCTGGTGCATGCCCAGGCTAAAATGCAGTTCTGCACACAGCAGCTCTACAGCAGCCTCCGGCCAACTCCTGTGTGTGCCATTTTCTCTTGCTGCAGCACTTGTTAAACCTTTTCAGTGCTGTGTTGAGGGAGAGCCGCATATTTCTCCTAACCAACCCTAAATTGAATCTTAAAGGTTTTTAATTGAATCCATTTTCATGTTTTCACATAATTATGCAATCATAATCTTGAAAAGCACATGGCATGTGATCATTTTCTGCCTAATAAGAAACATAAATGTTGTTTTCAGGGGGGCTGTGCCTGTGTGTGTTGTTTTAATGTGGAACATTGCAGCTTTAAATCTTTATTTTATGTAGTGACATGAACCCACATTTAGCCTCCCCCCCCCCCCAAATATTTATGTTTTATAAAAATTCCGAGCTTGATGTTGTGCAAATTTTCTTTAATGTTTTATATCATTTGGGGTGTTGTTTATATAAGTGCCATGTTGTAATTCTCTCCTATTTCTTTCCCCGCGCGTGTCCCTCTACAGGCTAAGCACTTCCGTCTGTATACACAGGAGGTGTTGGAACTGGGTCACAATGTCTCCTTTCTTCTCCTGCTCCCCGCCTCAGACGACGTCTGCACTGCCCCAGGACAGAATAATCCTTACACCCCACACTCAGGATTTCTTAACCTCCCTCTTCAGATGTTTGAACTCGGTATAGTAGCTTGCTTCACCTAGAAATATTAACCCAGTCTTCTTATAATAAAATCACAAAGTTGTATCTGTTTTCCCCCTTGTCCCAGTGGAGAGTCAATAAATCACATGATGGCTTTGGCAACAACACTACCTATAACTGTGTACAAGTTATAGAGGGAGCAGAGCGGTTAAAGCATATACTGTAGCAATCGTTATTGAAATGCAAAGCATAGAGCAAAGCCCACAGTTATCCAGTATGTGTCTAGAAGCTTATTTGGAAGATGATGTGCTCTATAAAAACAGAACCAACAAAATTACACACAACACAGCAAGGCTGGAGTGTGAAAGGAGATGCAAAAAAGAATCCCTCTAAATTGTCACAAGAATCACCACTAGTTCTGTAGAGGAGAATTTATGCAGTTTCTGATTGCAGATAGTCTGACTATCTGCAAGGTCTGACTCCCTCACAGCTTTGTGAAAGGTGAGTGGAGTTTCCCATGTGAGGGTCATCATTTTTCCTTCTGATTCCTGGAAAAATGCAGAAGACAGTTCCATTGCAGTTATGGAAAATGCCAAAGCACTGGACTTGAATCTATTTCTTTAGGGAGCGCATCCTGTGCTGCAGCAGATTCAGCCCTCTTGTTCCACAGCATTTCTGGCTGGGGAAGATTTCCCCAAAACAGAGTTTTCCAGCTGTCTCACAGGAGGCATATGATGCTTTAGGTTCAAGGTCCTCTAGTTCTCATTTCTTCTTGTTTGGTCCACAGAGAAAAGAAAGGTTCCACATAAAAGCAGCTCATAAAGACTTAATAGTTCTTCTTAGAAAGAATATTGTAAGTATGGGGACTGCTGAGCCTTACACATTAGTCTCCTCTGTTTCCTTCTGGCCCGTAAAACTGGATATCTTTCTTCCCTCTGCTGTGGGGAAGAGAAGAAAGATATAAGCCAAAACTGATGGGATCAGTACACACACAGCCGCTACAGAATACACCTCTAGTGACAACTGTGTCCTCACTGGTATCTCTCTCAGGTGCTTATGTGACACCATTACCATCCTATGTCCTGTATGTCATTGCTAAGTGCAGTTAGAATCACTGATGTAGCAGAACAATGATTAGATGTTAATGGAGGATCTTACCAACACTGTATTTCTGCAGTCACAACAGATCTGTGACCTACCATCATCCAGCAACACAAGTACACAAACAGGAACACACAACAGTGCTCATTCCACATCAGCCAGGGCACACAAAGTGGTGCCTCTGACAGCTCTGGGGTTCTATGCTTGTTGTAGGAGGAGAGATGACAGCTAGCTGAGCTGCCACATAATTACGAGTGGTCCAGAACCGCAACACGTGAGCTGTTGTGGTCAGCTCAGGACAAGTTAGCCCTTCAAAAGAAAACTGATGTAATTGAACTAGAAGAGTTAGTTCAATGCTTCAGGTCATATGTCCTCGGCTGTAGCGCCTTAAAGCCAGACTTACCTTCCCGGCACACAACCCTGAAGCTCACTATTAGACTGTATTGAGCATATCATTTCTTCCTTTGAGAGGTGACTGCTGCACTCACTGTGCAAATTAATGCATGAAGCATACTCTTTTCTGGTGAAGTTAATCTCTGTGCTAGAGGCTTTGCAGACTACCTCTCATTGTGTGGTACACAGGCCAGGGACAGGAGTCATTCTCACTTCTGGGACATAGTTTGCATCAGGCTGAGAAAGCAATATCTTGGGTGATGTGTGCAGATAAACATGCAACAGAGCAATCTCTCAAAAGGCACTCTGGGTGCAGACCTCTCTGTTTAGCAGTTCATGGTGCAGAAAACAGTACAGAAAGTGAACTTTATGTTTCAGTATTTTTATATAAGCAATCATCTAGCCAAAGACAGATGACATTTCTATATGACATTATATATGTATCCCTGATGTTCTATAAAGTGACTGTGATTCACATCTCAAATATTAGAAGCTTCCATTCCCCATTAGCTGGTGGCTACCAGCTATATAATTGCATAACCACAAAAGACTATGTTGAAGCAACATTTGTTAAAGTAACATTAAAGGGTCTGACTTAAAACCACAAAGGCTAGAAACTTCAGCACTGGAGCTGAAACCGCGGCCGTAATTCACTCAAGAGTCCACCACATATGGCACATATACTGTAAGACCACACACTATTCAGACTAGATCCCTGCAATATCTCGGCATCTTTGAGAAACCAGAAGGTAGAATTCTTTCTTTCACTCTTTTTTGTGAGATTTCTATGTTCAGATTAGGCCTTCACTGTTATGCTAATGATGTGTCTGTGAGCGGATTTCTTAGTTTGAAAAAGTCTTCTCAGTTACTCTTATCATGTTGTTTGCATGGGACAGACAGACACATGATGCTGGTTTGATTTCTTTATTGATACTTATGATAAGAACAATACATGCAATTTACACTTGAAACACCCTGAAAAATACCCTGCCCCAACCCAGAGAAGTAGCAGCAGCAACCACCAGGCAGTCACTGCTGTAATAACATCATGCTTTGTGCTTGCATTTATTGAAGCACCACTGAATGGGGAAGTATTTCTGAGCTCTCCCTCAGCAAATTTCAGTGTGTCTGTGCAGAGATTCATAGTGATAACTGCTAAGTCTTGCTTGTGCAATTGCAGGTTCTATAATGGAGCTTTAAGAGGCCAGGAAAACTTAACACTTGCGAAGCTCCATGGCACTGAAGCTGTTGTGTCTCTTACCTAATTACCTCTTTCAGAGGTAGCTCAGACTGCTCTGTGCCACTCCAAAGTCAAATCACACAAAGCAAGAGGTCACATCTGCACCTTCTTATTACCCTTCTGCATGAGAGTTCAGAGCATGATGTGTGCTAACACCTAACAGAGTTTTAATTGCTTCACCCAAACTGATACCACTGAGATGCTTTTACTGCTGAGTCATTTACATTTCAGTTACTGATTTCAGCCAGCCTAGCTCAAGAGAAAGTTATCACCCTTTGAAATGATACTTTCTGTCTGAAACACTCAATTAAAAAAAACAAGAGATGAGTTCCATTTTCCAGTCATGTCACTGCCTTCTTGATAAAAGAAATGATGAGCTATAAAAGCCTCAGAAACAGCCCTTCTGATTGAAGCTATCAAGGCTAAGATAGCCTCTGGAGCTGCATACTAAGGACCTGATTATCCCTTCACTTAGATATAAATTAGAAATGACTCTTTTGAAATCAGTGAAGTTACAGAGTAAATCCAGTGTAAATGAGAGGAGAATTAGAGCCTGTACTATTTATTTCTAGCTTAAAGTAACCCATCCAGAGTTAGTAATTATATCTAATAAAACTTGTGCTCTGAAAGCTAAGGATTTCATATTTCATAACCAGAATAAAACAATGTTTCCTTTGCACTTGGTCTTTTCACAGTTCATTTTTGCTGCTACAAGGAAAAATTTATAAGCCTGTATTGCCGCCTTTCTGCTGTCATAGAGCTGGACTCTCTGAAAACCCAGCAATCCCTAAGGGAAGCAATTTCAGACAGTGAAGTCGCTGCAGCCAAACAAAGACACCAGCAAGTTATAGACTACATACAGGTAATAGTCTGTTTCTGCCTATTCCAAGGAGATTTTAAGGTGGCTTTCTTAAAAATTGCATAGGGCTGTAACTTGAAATCTAAATGGAGAATTATTCACAGACATCATAAAAAGAGCAGTTGTATCAAAAGTGCAATTCTGTTTTTATGAAATTCAAACCCAGAACATGATTTCCTTAGTTGTTGCTTTTATAGAAGGATTTTTATGGGCAAAATCAAATGACAGTTATACTAGACTGTTATAAAGAAATGTGTCAGCCTGCTTGTAAAACTCACTCCCATCTAATGTGAGGTAAGCTAGTACCAGGCTCGGGCATTCATTTGTATAATGGTTTTCCTCTGTCTTTGTGAACTGAGGACGTTTTTCAATATGAGAAGTTGCCAATTAACAAATTAAATGAAAACTTAGACTAGTTTGCAGAGCCAATCTTCATCAACATTATCACAGCGCAGCGAGCAGTTTTGCACTGAACATGGCAAACCAGCCCCAAGGCATCCGGAAGTCTGTCCAGCACCACGCAGTGATACAGCTTCAGTCCCCCAATGCAGAAGGATCACACATGTAATCATACATTATCATTCTTGTCTAATTTGATTATTCTCTGTATCTTACACTGATTTTCAGTACTATTCCCAGATGAGCGCTTTACCAACTCAACTCGGGGATCTTCCAAGTACACCACACTGTGCCCCATAGCAAGGCCTGTCCTTTTGCAAACCATTTTGGTAACTTAGAGCTAAAACTCCTATGGACATGGTTGATCTGTCTTTCTACAACTGAGGTGCAGATAAATTAATTGCTCTGCACTCTTAATATTCAAGCATTTTCTGTTGGAATAGGGGCCAAGACAGCCATTTATCCCATTGATAATATGTTTTTATCCATAATTATGAAGAAGATGATAATATTTCTCTTCCTCTTTGCTTTGAATTCAAACCTCCTTTGCCTTGTTCGCTTTGGAGCTTTTGGCAACATGCAGGAGGGCAGGGAGGAATGTTCCATTGTACTTTCACTGCTCAAACACCTCCTTCCTTCTCATCTTCTCACCCTCACCCTCAGAAAACCTACCTTTTTCCCAGTGTGCAGGAGACTTTGGCACATTCTTCTCCTTCACATCAGAAATGAGTATATGCATGTTAATGCGCATGTACTGTATAGACAGGTCTGTGTTCCTCTTCTCCAAAGTGTCTGGGTCACATATATACGCTGGGAAAATATGGGAGAACATCTGAAACTTCAGTGTTTTGTGCTGAATTATTGTGACAGTGTATTAGCCTTGTCAGGTTTCCCCTCAAATGAAAACCAGCTGTATTTCACCTATTGGCAAAAATATCTCAGCCCACCACATACCGCAATCTTCAGTGGTGACCACAAAACCGCAAGGGCATTTGTGTGATCCTAGATCTAAGACAGTGTTGAAGTCACTACACAAACCAAACATTGTAAAGAGCGAGGGAGTCTATATAAATGCAGTTCTGAAAAGGAGTCAGAGGGCAACTGAAAAGTGAAGATTAAAATAAAATAAAAGAGCAGATAAGGTACTTGGAGACTTTACCAGAATGTTACACAGCAAGAAATCCGCAGACACTGAAACTAGAACTGAAGTTAAGCTGTGAATTATGCAGTATAATGCTTCAGACGTTCCTGAATTGTAAAAGAACCACAGTTCATTAAAATGACTGGTCCATTATCCCAGGAGACACTGCAGAATGGCATCACAGAGAAAAACAACAGGATTTGCATCTTATTAAACTGCATGCAGTGTGATTTCTGTTTGGGATTGAGGGAGGATCACAGACAGAGAATACAAAATCTCCAAAATCAAATAGGTGAGACGTTTGCTAACTGGCATTCTCTTCATGGAGCAACACTGAAGTCTTGAAATGATGTAGGATTATGAATTAATCTCTGAGCCATTTGCTATTCTTATCAGTGTATATTCTTAGCTCAAATTAACTCAGTGGCAAGGCTTGCACTGACATCATTGGAGTCGGGATTTCACCTTTACATAAAAATGGCCATACTAGGTCAAGACAAAGATCCATCTCTCCAGTTATCCTGTCTCCAATACAGCTCATCAAGAACTACCCTAGCTAATCTGGCATCTACAGTATCCTTTGGCAATAAATTTCACACTCCGAGTGTGCAGTTTGTGAAGAAGTATCTTCAGCTAAGAATATGTGCTGGAGCCCTCAAAGTACAATATGCGAGTCTGCAGTCTCCTCTTCCCTGGTCCCTTTGTTACTTCTCTATTTGACAATACTCACTGCACAAAGTACCAATCACTTTTGCCTATCCATTTCCTGACCCAGGGCTCTCGTTCTGCATCCCTGCAGAACATAGCTTGCATAACTGCAGAGCAGTTTCCCTTAAACACTGCAATATTAATATGAAGGCTCATTTCTTTAAATGCAAAATCTTCTGCAGGAAGAGGAGTGCAAGGGAAGTTCTAGAAAGGGTACTGCAGCAGAAGGATAATACACTCACAGCTACTGTCACTTGCTGGTTGCAGCAACATCTGCTCCGTCATCAAACATGTTGAATTGCTTGAAGATGGTAAAAGTGTTCCATTATCAGAAGGCTCTCAAGACCCACAGTAAACAGCATCTTTTCTCTCTTCATAGATACTTAAAGCTATATCCTGCTATTGGTTTAGGCACTTGTCTCTTATTGCCATCAACAGGCATGTGTTAGAACTGTCTTACTGTAGATTTATACTATTAAAATATATGAAGACCAAAATGATGATAACGGAGAAACTTGCAGTTTGCCTCATAGCTGTGCTTCTACCCTCCATGAATGTACATTCTTCTACGTGTATGTATATTCTTCTGTTAAAAACTAGCTTTGATTGGAGCACTCTGCTTTGGAACATAATCCTGGGTTTGCAAGGATGCTCAAGAAGTCTTGCTTTCATGACAGTACAGAATGAAATCACCTTTCCACTGTGCCACAAAACTGATCCCATTTTTTACTCCATCAAAAGACCATTTTCATTTTCTTTCCATGTCAGAGTTTAGGCCTGAATTCCCACACCCACACCCCCCCTAAGTGCAGGTTCTTAATTGAGGTATCTCATTTGAGAGTCAGACTGCAATGGTGAAGGAGAACAAGCACCGAACCAAAGGCAGTTCAGACCACCTACATCTGAAGTGTCCTGTCAGGGGATCCTGCTGCTGTCTGCTGGCAGCATCCACACACCCACTTGGGTGCTTTTATAACGCACGCACTTAGGTAGAATCAATACACAGGCTAACTGTGCTTTTTCACCATTTCTTTACAGCAAATCGATGAGATCTGGAGGGAAATGAGATGGATCACAGAAGCACTGCAGTATGCAAGATACAAGCAGCCAGCAGCTGGCCTACCTGTAAAGAAGTTTGTGGATCTTTCAGTAGAACACTCTCAGAAGAAAATCAGTTCATCCTCTTCACATTTAGATTGTCTTCCTTCACCTCCCCCTTCACCTGAGGCTAGACTCCAGAGAAGAAAAGCTGTGAGTGGTAAGAGAACTCTTCTTTGTTCATCAAACAAAATCCTTTAACTCACTTTCACTTGTAACAGTTCCTGTATTGTCTTTTTATAAAAGGAGTCAACATTTTCCCATACCTGCCAGGGTATTTTAACAATCATTTTACCAGCCATTTGCCACTCTCTATCCTGAGATCCCTCTACAATCTTTGCAATCAGTTTTTACCTACTCAGAATAACTGCTCAGCATCAGCCAACTCTGTCAACTCACTGTTCCAGGTTATTAAATGAACAGGTTGGAAGGTACAAGTGCTGTCACTGACTTTGCTTTGTTTTGACAGAGCAAATTTTAGTGCCAATAGTCCAGTTTAAAAGTCGTTTTCACATACTTCAGTGTTGTCAGTGTCCCAGACAAGCACTTTAAAACACAGACTTACACAAGTAAGTACCCACCTCACTGACTGTTACTACTTCTCTGAACAGCTGGAGAACTAAACTGATGAAAGAAATGGATGACAGCAAATAAAGGTGAAGCAAATTAAACAGTAACACCTAATTTGCTAACAGAATGAGGACTTTGGAGAAAAATGTAATCCATCATTCTGCTGAGCTGTCTTTAAGCAATAAGTAAATGAAACAGCAGAAACAAAAGCACCAGATGCTCCATTAAACAACTGCCATGACCATTTTGGTAATAATAATTTGTGAGGTTTATTCAAATTGGAAGTTTTATACAGTAAAGAAAAATGAATACATGTACTCTGATTAGATTAGGCTGAAAGCAAGCCAGAGACGATGGTGTTTTGATTCACTCCGTTACACCATGGTGTTCTTTCTCAGCATCTCTCCCTAAACTGATTTTTCCCTGTATTACAGACCATGAATGCAGGATAATCCTTAGCTCTGGCACCATGTTAACTAGAGCATTATCTTGTCCTGCATGGGCTTGATTCACTATTGCTGGGCTATACGGTGATTTACGCTCAAAGTGAATAGTCAGCACTGTATAAAGTCTACATTTCCTTTCCTTGGATCTAATATAAAACCTGCAGGGCAGTGAAGCATCAGCCCACTCTATCACATATGCCACTATTTATTATGTTATTGATCCCTCTGCAGCCAAAAGACAGCAGTGGTTTAGTGATGGTGTGGTCAACAAATTCACATCTGAATTAAGTGTTTTCTGCTTGTATATGAACACAAGTAACACACCTGATGGACAAAAGGGTAGTTTTTGTTCATCTGCCTCCAGATGAACCTCTTAGGCACACACACAGTTGCACCTACTCACAGTTACAGAGGTATACATGTGGAGTAATTCAACTGGCATCTTTAACAAAAACAGAACCTGGATTAGAGTTTTTCTCTCCCAAATCTCCATCTCTATGAAATTTGGTGACAAGAAGATAAAAGAAAACAGATCCTTTCAGAACATAATCCCAGTTCACACGAAATACACATACATGTTTAGAATTGTAGATCTGACTCTAAATTCAGGAAAAAAAAAAACATAAAAGACAGTTAAGCCATTTCTTTCCTGTGCTTGTCTTCTTAATCACTTCTCTTTGCAGATTCCCAGCCCTGCTCAGATGAAGAAGGCTGCTCTGAAGTATTCCTTCCAACTGACAGTGACTATGATTCCAGTGATGCATTAAGCCCCAGAGAATTAGACCTGATTTACTCCTCCTCACAGGACATATCCCAGCAGGCCAGCAGTGGCCTGGGTGGCAGTGCACCTGATGTTCTCCAAGTCCACGACATGAAGCCTTGCCTGACATTGAAAGAAGGCCTGACAGAGTGTAGTGCCTTTGATACTAATGCTGAATGTTGCACAGAGGACATGAGCAATCTAACAGTGTCAGGGCTTACATTGAAAAGCATAGACAAGTCCTCTAGCTCCAAGCAGGCACTGAGCTTTTTAGGGAAAAAAAAACTAGGGAAACATCAACATTACAGCTACTTCAGCCGGCACCATCGGTGGCTGCGTGTGTACAGTGAGACACAGTCTGGCTCTCTGTCTGAAGGGGTGTATACTCAGCATCTCATGAGACATTCAGATTTGTCTCAAGAGCCTATCTCCACTGAGCAGGTGAAGATTCCCATTGATGGATCTCGGAGCACTTTCTTGCCTCATGCATCCAGCCTTCCAGAAGATGGGAAAGGCAAGTATGAGGAGTCAAGGCAAACTGTCCATCAGATACATGTGGAGCCTTATAAAACATTTCTGGATGAAGACAGCAAGTCCTGGGCAATGAGCACACAGTCTGTAGAACACAGGGATGCTCACAGTGCTATGCAACAGAAAATGAGTCCAGATGACCAGTCGGGTTCTGCTGTCTCAGAAGTCTTCAGCAGCACACTTTAACCCTCAGACTTGTGCATTGCTTCCCACTGCTACACAGTGAGAGAGTGAACATCGTGCATGCAGGGCCATACTTTCAAAACCACTTGGAAATCTCCAGCTCCTGAAATGGCAACTCATGCCACTCAAAAGAATCCTCATCTTTTGACTTCATCACCAGGTTTCTGGTCTTACAGAGGTATCATCTGTCACGATGTAAGCTTTATTATTGGCATCTGCACTTTTGCAGGTAGAGCTGTAACAGTCACCACAAAACAGAACAACCTGTGGCTGCAAATCTAGTAATGAGGTTTTGCAGTTCTCCTGGTTTCCATGTCTCCCTGAGCATGCAAAATTTTAAGCATGAGTGGTTCTGCCTGCAAGTTAGCAGAAACTGTAACATCCTTGGTGTCCTCACGTTAGGACTGTGTCCTAAACTTGTACTAACCAGTTCTCCATTATTTCGTGTCAGTTTTTCTACTTCTTGAATGGATTTAGGCTGCATATAACTGAAGTGCTAACTTCTCTAGGAACACATTTAACCCAGAGTTTCACTTACAGAGAAATGAGAAGTCTTTTGGTACCTAGAAAAGGCAGTCAACACCACCTCTGAGTGCTGTCGAAGCCTGACATAATTATCACAAGGGTTTTTTTCACCAGCTTAGATTTCAAATTATGTATTATAAAGGCTTAGCAGGTAAACCTTTGGGGTCAAGAGCAGGCAGAATGAGACCAAGTTCTGAAGGAATAAGATGCAGAGTCTAAGTGAGACTGAAGCTTGGTCTTTTCTTCTGCCCAGAACACAAGAGCTCATTTCTGCATGTTGGCAGCATGCTCATACACCCGTTGAAAAGAAATGCTCCTACTTTTGTTCCTGAATATTCACTGTAAACTTCAGGGGTATTTGATCACCATGTCTGAAATTGGGATAACTGTAATGATTAGGGAAATTTGGGGTACGGTTTGAATGCATTATTTGGGCCACCAATATTGTATCATAAGGAGAGTGGGAGGTGGTGTTTTAGCATGCTGTGTTTGTCTAAAGGCAGATCACACTGAGTCATGATGTTGTCCTTTACAACCAGAATCAGCCTTATAGTACTACAGGAGATGATCTCAAAAATGAAATCCCTATTAATGAGAACCATAACATTTGAGTCAGTAAGAAATGAACGAATGTGGAGAGAAACCCCAGCTGTTGCACAAGCTTTAATTTTTCTTAAACAGTTCTTGAAGTTTAATTTTATAGGCCACATTCCTGCTGGTTAAATTCCCTCACTCCATGTTTGCGCAGCCTTCTACCTTTCAATTTTTCAGCCTCCAGGTGGATACATTCTAAGGCCTCCAATAAAGAGATTTGAGTTAAATAGTTGAGTTTACAAGTCCTTGAGGTAAAGGTAAGGATTTGGGCCCATGATCTGTGGTCCTTATTAAAATAGCACTTCCATAACCCCAGTGCTATTAAAATCCCTGTGAACTCAATCCATAAATTCAAAAATAAATGTTATTCACTATTTTATGCTTGGTCAGTATGTGGAAGCCAAGAAGAGTGTTTGCAGTGATACAAGGGCAAAAACTTTCTATAAGGATTTACATTTGTAACTTCTCTTTTTGGGTGAGGGAAGTTAATTTTTCACCCAAACTATTCATTCATTCCCTGATCCGAGGCTGGAAAGACTTCCATTCACTTCCACAGGCTTTGAATGAAACCCATATTGAAAATTCCTGTGGGTGAGAAGATGCTGGGGGGAGCAGAAGTGTCAGCGCCAATTTGCAGCTAGAAGGACATACATTGTATGTTGTATGCCACATGGAGCTGCAGGGGGAAAACCTGACTCACACACCATAGAACCAAACAGTGATGTTTTACTGTCACTGAAGGCAGTAACAGCTTGTTACATTAGATTATGTTCATTAGCAGAAGGCTTTGCACCAAGGAGAGCCAGCCAGTGTAATGCTCATACTCAGAAGTCAAAATAATTTAGATTGTTTTCTAGGATACAGCACCTAGCCCAGGCTCCCCTAATCTGTTTAGCCTCTAAGCAAAACTGCCATAAAACTGTCTATTAAAGAATAAAAATAACAATACGCTGAGGCCATATGTTTTTGCAGGAAGCGATGAGATAAAACAAGATGTTCCTAAATGAAACCCACCTTGCTTTGCTTCGGCTCTTCAGGAACACTGAGGGCAAGAAGTAGCAAGAACTACAGCAGAACAGGTACACACTGCTGGTTAGGTAAGGATGTAAAAATCTCTGTCACCTACTTCTGCTGCTGGACTTTTCCAGCAGTAGTCATGTATCTAATAACGAGCTGGGTTCTTTACTGGTAGAAAGGGCTTGATTTCATCATAATCTGCTGTGCTAAAATGGAATTTGACTCTGAGAATGCAAATGCCAGCCACAATGTACCCCACCTTGATTCTAACTTTGTTACATGGAAGTAGTGTTTACATGATGGCCAATGGGGCATGCTTCCTTAATTCTATTAGCTCTAAATTGAGGTTCTTCCACATACTTTAATAGTCAAAGTAGTAATTGATAGTTCTGACTTTAAATACTTCTGATTATAAAGCACTGAATTGTCTCGTTAGAAATACATGTTCTTTGTTCAAAATTATCATCCCTATCTATTCAGTGGGTGATTGAGCAGAGCAACGCCTTAAAAGAATAGTAATGAACACCCAGAGATAAATAAATAGTAGAAAGTGGTGCCTTTCAAGTACTGTCATAGTACTATTCATACTGCTGCTGCAGTTGTCTTAGGAAGATCACTCACACATTTCACAAGCAGCCACAGCAATTCAGAAGCATCCTGCAAACTACAGCACTGTATTCCCACTCCATAAAGGCACAAGTGGCTCTTCTGAGTAGGGCTTAGAGTAAAGGCTCACAGTCAGGAATCAAATTAAAATTAGGAACTCAGATCTTTGCTTCAATTACTGTGAACCCTTTCCCCAGGTTGGGCTCAAGTGCCCCTCCAAGGATTCCAGCACAGAACGGGGAAATGCTGTGGCTCAGAGCCCACAGCACACCAGAGTTTCATTAGCCAGCAGACAGCTCATTCAAATGAGTCTGCACCCACTGAAGCTCTGCCCTAAAATGGGTACTAAGGCTTCGTAAACTTCTGGACATCTCTCTTTTACTCCTGTATCTTGCCACAGAACTTTGTCCTGCATTTTCTAGGGAGTGTATATTCACCTGGGCTGAACTCAGACCCTCCTATCTCTAGGCATGACTTAACTGGCTAGGAAAAAACATACTGCTTTAATACTGTGACTCAACAGCAAAAAAAAGAATGTGGATCATATCTCCCTGTTTAGTGGACTAAAACTTTCCTTTTTCTGCTGGTAGGAAGCAAGTTAGAGGTAAACTGCAAGCGAATTCCTAGCATCAGCAAGAAGGCAGTCTGCCCATGGATAGTTTGCCTCAAGAAAGCTGTGCCTTGAGCACTGATTTCCCAGGCTTGTATTTCTTCTTCCTTTGCCTTTAGGTATTAGTTGACAATTGGATTTTCTAGACAATAAAAGCACGCACAGGGAAATCTACAGTATTTTTAAACATAGATACTAAAAGGGGAGGGAGAAGATGGAATATTTTATCCTGAACATTTATGTTTAGAGCGTTTTGGAAAGAGATGGTGCATCTTTAAATTCTCTAAGGTATAAAGAAATGCATTAAGTTGCTGGTCAACTCTTTTAAGGTGTTTAAATGCATGGCTCATGACTGTTACGTAAAACTTCAATACAGCCTTACAAACAACAAGGGTATAGTGTATTTGAAACTATGGTACACAGCTTGGAAACTTACTCTGAATTTCTCTGAGGTGTTGAACTTTGCCATCAGCAAAAAGCATTTTTAGTAAAGAGGCCTTGAATTTTCAGACAACGGAGATTTCATCAGGTTGGGTCGGATTTTTCCACTACAGAAAAACACTAAGTAGCTGGAATACTTTATTTGTAAGTATAATCTATCTTTTGATTCCATCAAGTAGAATTCATAAGGCTAAATCATGCCCAGAAGCGAGAAGCAGAGCTGTTGGAACAGTATATTCTTTGCAAAACCCAACGGCAACGTTCCCGAAGGCAGGCTGTGCATTATCTCTGGCAGCTTTGGCCTCTTCTGTGCTAAGTGAACATCTGCATCTTTTGTGCTAAGTGAGCATCTGCAAAGTCATGAGAAGTCAGTTTGTTGATTCGACTGGAGCAGGCCCCACGTACTGCTGAAAGCTGTGCAGCTCCTACCAGCTCAGAGGACATCTCATGGTCCTGGTGTTCGTGAGCACTTACCCAGCTTGCTGTCTCTCAAACGGAGCTTTGGGGGTGAAATAAGAGCCAGGCTGGAATACGTATTCACACGACAGCACCTTGGGCAAGATTTAGCCTTTAAACCACTCACACTGTAATAGAGTAATGTGTTAGTAAGCTTGTCTGTCATTAGCCTACGGGAAACCTCGTCTTTTGCTTGTCAAATAATAAGAATAGATTTTTTACGCTTATGTTCATTTTCTCCCTTGGAAAAGCTATCTGAAATTGGCCTAACCTTAGAGAAAGTGGTTGGTGTGGCACTAATCTACCTTATTACTGTGAACTGTAGTAATTCATTAAGCAGATTTTAAGTTAAACGCACAGAGGTTTTGTGTTTTGCTTTATATAATGGTCAGTTTGAGGCCAATTGTGCTGTCCTTAGACCTCGCTCCAGGTCCTTTTGCACCAGTGTAAACTATGAGTAGCTCCACTGAAGGCAAGCCAGGTATTGCCTTGTACAGATCAGCATTACCTCCACTGACTAACAAGGCTGGCTCGGCATCAGCTGAGGATCTGGATCAGTGGAGTCATCACGAACACAACACACAGATGCTGGTGCAAAAATGGTATGTGTAAGGAAGACAAAAGGGGATTTATCTCATGGAACATCCCCCTGGAGGTCACAGGGACAGTTGTTGGAGCTGGCTCATAGAGTGAGCCCACCACGCTGCTGTGTTACCAGTTGTACTGGGGGGGGTAACCTATACTGCATGATCTATTGCTACATTTGATAACAGGGACCAAATTTCTCTCCTATATTATGCAAATGAATCCCCTGCTAAATGTAATGGGAGTTTCAGTTACTTTCCTGATAAAAATGAGGACTGTTGAGGGTTACTGGGGACCTGGGGGGAGGGAAGAGGGGTTGTTTGGTTTTTTCCCCTCAGAGAAAAAGTAATTTAAGTGAAATGTGCAAGGCAGTGTTTAATTGCTTCCTGCCTTGTTTGTACATAGCAATTTGGCTGTTTATTGGTTGTCTTTGTTCAGATTTTTATTGTAACTTGTTGCTATATATGCAACCAAGCGTATGTTAAAGTTTAAACTTTGGTACAAAATAATGCACAATTTTATGTGCTTTAAAACTTTGTAAATATCTAGATGAACAATGTGGGCTGTGCTAACTGTGATCTTGAGACTTGACGCAACAATATTTTCATGCATATGTACCTGCGAATGGTTTGAAAATAGCAAAATATATCTTGAGGATGGCCACGAGCCAAGAGTAAATGAGTGCCGCATGACTCATGCTTCTTTAATAATTCCTGAAAGAGGCATGTCTAGTACATAAAATAGACAATAAAAATAATTTTCAAGACTACAAATATTTTTTATAACTTCAGATATTAAATACTATTTTAGAAAAAAGATTGGTTGGTAAAAGAAATCAGGTTTATTCGAGTGAATCATTGTCATAAAAATGTTCTTAACATAGATTTTTTTGTTTGATCTAATATCATAGAAACCCAGCTCTTTTAAGATTTCGAAGACTTGAAGTGCTCTTGTGTTCGTACCACTCCCGTGATCTTCTGAAATGATGTACTTCAGGTCTTCTCCCTCATTAACAAAAACATGCTAGCGTATACATTCGGAATCCTAAATACCATGTGCACTTGTGTATTTGACCGTCACCAAGTACCCACCTATATGAGCTTTACAGTCCATAGAAATCTGAATGTAGCTTGTGTTTTTCCCTGAATTCTTTTATTTTTATTAGAAAATGACTTATTCTAAGGCCAAGCTTTCAAATATGGTCTCCAAAGTTAAATTTTGGGCTACACATTCAGACATCTAAACAAAACATGGCTTCCAGAGCTTGCGGGCAAAAATAACCTGCCATCAAAGTCAACAGGAATTGAAACTCAATTTGTACAAATGTAATTGCCTCAATACAGCAGTGATATCTGGGTAGCTGGATTTGAAGTGGCATCTTTCTAATCTGTGTGTTACAACTGCAGAAAGTGCTGGCATACAAGTATCAAAGCAGTGAACAGCACCAAGATCTTGCAGGCTGACAGCCCAAACCCTCCCCAAGCCCAGGGCTCTCCTATGGGCTCAGCAGCTTTCGGCAGGGTATTTGCAATGACACCCAGACAGAATCCACTGCATGCTTGCGGTGTGAATCTGTGCTTTCAAGCCACGTTGTAAACACTGTATTGGAGGTGTATAATCTGCTTGTAGCCAACACCCCAGATATTGCCTGCTGACGGGAATTACCTTATGAAAGTGAAACACTCTTCCATTGTGACTCCTCCATTTTTCACATATTCTTGTCCTCCAAAAGCATGGCAACATTTCCAATGTAGGATAAAATTGGGTTATTGTATGTAAACAAGAGAAATAAGAACTCCATTTTCAATGCTGAAGTGAAAGGACTTGGGTCACTTTTTACCTTGTTTCCCAGATGGAGAGGTTGCTAAATCTATTTTAAGCACCATACTGTGGGAGCCTCTCAGCATCTTATGCACTATCCTACCTTTTGTACAGATACTGCTGTAATTAGAATAGGTGACATACCCAAGGTCACACAGAGAGCTTGTGACAGAGCAGGGACACAATTTTCTGGCTTAACATCCTTACAACATCAGCAGCAGCCAATTATTCATAGCTTCTGCACAAGTATATGTGGTAATGTAAATGTTGACAAATGTCCGTATTCCAGCCAGGACATGCCAACTCATTGCAAGCTTCAGGATAACAGCATCTTACTGGAGTATCTGTGGGTATTTTCACACATGGAAAATATTGTAACCAAAATGCAGCCAAAGTGGAGCTCAGCAGTAGAGTGAAATACTGCTTAAACTGTAAGATAAAATGTGACTGTCGGTCACCTCTGCTTCCTTCGTTTTCAGTTGCAAAACATTGTTACCACATTTCCAAAGTCAGTAAAAGAAAAAAACCAAATGCAAGTAATTAGTCATGTACAGTAAGCTAAGGAATTAACTAGAAAAAACACTGCAAGACAAAGAAGGATTTTTTGTGTGCATGTACTTAAATTACTTGGGGGCATTTCTGCATGTACCACACAGCTTTTAGAGCCTAGTTGTTCCTATGTTTTGCTTGCCCCAAGCTGAGATTTCTTCTTTATATGAGAAGATAGGTAAGTGAACAGTGCAGTCCGTCCAGACCTTTCTAACACGTTTGCCATGGTTCCTTGAAGGACAGTGCTGGTTTATAATTGCCTCTGTGTTCTATGATGAAATGCTTTTAAACCAACTGGAAAGAAGTTAACAAACTCATGTTTCTGACAGCAAAAGACACCATTTCGCTGTTCCATTCAGATGTATTAACTTATATAAACTGTCATCTCTCTGAGCAAACTTATTAACTCATTTTTTAATTCTGCCTTTAAATAAATGCTTTGGGTTTGATTTGGGGTGTTTGGTTGTTCTGCAAACACACAAAAGATCGTTCTTAATAAGCTTCATCGTTCTCTTCCCCAGACAGCTGTATTCAAACTCTCTTTTCAAACAAATGTATGTTCATTCAGAAGAGCTAGTAAAATGTTTCTATTTTAAGAGGTTTTAATTACTAATAATCACCCCTAATTAATCAGTAGGATTTCTGCTCCTTACCCGTGTGAATAACAGAGCTAATTATTCTGATTATCCAATTCATTTTTATTATGGCAAACATGCCGGGAAAAAAATCAGGTACACTCCTCTGCTCTGCTGCTCACGTACACACTCAGTTACACACAAAAAACGGTAAAGTGGGCAGCAATTTTGGAGCTTTATAAACTAATATTAAAGTCAGTTTAAAGACAAAACAGCCTTTAATAACAGTAAATAAAAGTGGGGGTTTTTTTGGTATATATCAAAATAAAATCCCTGCCTTTGGTGAGATGAGCAATTTTTTGACTTAATGCGGTCTTTGCAAAATAAATTGTTTTAAAATTTCCACCAATTTGCTTTTTAAGGGGGAAACAAAGGCAATGCCAAAATGTTTTGCTTGTAATCACTTTCTGAAAAATCCTGAGGCAAAACGTTTCAAGTGTGGATGCCATCATTAAGTGGTGATAAATAAATGCATAATAGTGGACTAGGCTGAAACACCCTTCTGTGAGCAACGCCGCTGCTGTTGGTTTTAGTGGTACTTGGGAGTGCTCCTCGCTCCTGAAAATCAGGCATTTTGTTTAAGTGCTTAACATCAGTGACACACGTATAAGAATGTGGCTCTGGTTCCCCTCAGCTGTGATCATTTCTGGACCACAAAAGAATCCTGCACCTACACAGAGATGTTTCACACGAACCTGCACACCTTCACCTTTTCCCATACTGCTTTTGAAATGTTTGGGAAAGGAAAATGTGCCCTTTTTTTTTGCTTATCTGTTTCTGAAATGGTCACAGAAAGGAGCTAAATCAGAAGTCAGGCTTGATAAGTTTAACACCCCAGTTTCACTCCTGTATGTGCTACAAACCTAGCCCCAACAGAACACGTCTTTTTTCAAGCTTTCTTCTGGGGCACACTTGCTCCTTCCCCCTTCTGTGCCTTGTGTTCTCATTCTGATCCCCTGCTCTCTCATGGCTCCATCCTGATCCCTCTCTTCCTCGAGTCTGAGTCACAGGAGCAATAACCCAGCCTGCTTCGACCTACTCAGTGCCTCAGCTGTTAGGGTAAAGCCACGCTCCCGGGGGACTCACGTTTGAGTACAACCCCAGGATTGTCAGGGCTCTGGCTGGCAGTGCTGCCGAGGGGACAGTCTAAGGCTCTATTTTAATCTTCTGGAGCCCAGCCAAACACTGGAACGGAGCTGCCAGCACGAGGGGGGCCCTCCTGCTCACTGCGCCTGACCTCCCATCAGGAGAGGTGCTGGTGTGTTCCTACTCAAACTACTAGGGCTCTTTCATTGCGCCTGACCTCCCATCACGAGTGCTACCAGGGATCCAGCTTCGACTACTGGGGGCTTAACCCTGGCACAGGTCCAGCACACGAGCTACACGCCGCCTGTCTCCAGATGTAGGATGCACCGAGTGTACACTCGCACACCGCGGGCTCAGCCGGAGGGGGCTGTTTCAGGTACTCTGTACAAGCAGCCACGCAGCACTGCCGACCCCTCACCCTGTCTTACAGGGGTGGACGTACCCCTGCAGGGGGTTCTGCCGATCCTTATCCTTTCATTTGGGAAGATGCAGCGTTTCACACGTGTCTGCAGTCCTAGCCTGCATCCCTACTGCAGCTGACCCTGCAGCTTGACTGCAGACACTCGCTCCTGTCTTGAGCAGTATCAGCTCCACAGCCTGTCTCCATGGACGGGCATTCAGTGAGATGTGGCTGTGCCACGGGCCTCGGGGAGGAAGCCCCTGAGTAACTGTGAGGCAGAGAGTATGTGCTACCCCTTCCTAGGTACCCCGAGATGGGAATGTTTCTGAAGACCATCACAGAGGTTCGCAGTTCAGCTAAATCACGCTGTGCTTTGCAGCTCAGCTCTGCAGGCCTCCCCTTCAGCAGTCAGCAAACCCCAAAGCCCGCTCCTCCTCTCCATGCTCCCTGTGTGCTCAGAGCACCAGGACGTCAGCTGAAGCCCATCCTGAGCATCAAGAGCATCTCCCTGACACCAGCAGGCTCCGAGCTGGGATCTCACTTGCTAGTAATCTCCTGTCCTGGCTTCTTTATGTTGGCTGAGTATCATGAATAACCACATCACCCTCCAGGCCAATCTAACACCCCTCCAACGCTACTATCTTCCGCTGAAACACATTTTTAGCAGCCCAACTCAGTATGTCACCATTTAAGAGGTTGATAGCACATACACCCCTCGGGCCAGCTCTGCAGAGTTGGCAGGTTCACACCGCAGCACCCAAAGCGCTGGTGCTGCTGCGGTGCCAGAGCACATGGCAGCGGGAAGCAGCTGCGGGCTGCGACGGCTCAGGCAGGACTCGCAGTACCAGCCATAGGCTAACGCTGCCCGGGGCCCCCAGCCTCGGCTGCCCCAGGACCCACCTACGCGCGCCCTGCTGCTGCCCGCACACGGCGGGACGGGACCGGACCGGACCGGGCACCACACGCTCCCCTCACCACACGCCTGCCCAAAATGGCGTCCCAGGGAGCGGCGCGGCGCCCTCTCCTGGGCAGGCTGAGGTAATGGCGGCCGCCCTGCCGGAGGTGCGGTGCCTCCATGTGCTCTGCGGGCTTCGCGGGACGTGGAAGTTACCCAAGGCGCCTTGCACAGGTGCGGTGAATAAAGCTCCCCGGTATTTACCACAGCGTTACCCGCAATGGCGCCGCACGGCCATGCTGCAGATATGGCGCCCGCATTGCTGCAGCTCAGCCTCTGGGGATCGTCTCCTCACTGTCAACGACTGATGACTGCTGCCACTACCTCAGGTATTTATGGTTTTCGGGACTCTGAGGTAACCCGATGGGGGCTGTGACACGAGTGGGGTGGGTCGGGTGTGCCTTTGCATGGTCTGACCTGCCTAAGCTGCAACTTGCAGCCACCAGCGGCAGCCTTAAACCCCCTCTGCAGCGGTCTGTGTTGTACCTTGGTGAAGCTGTAAGGGTTTTCACTCCAAGGGATTGAATAACACAGCTCTAAGTCACCGGGAAACACCTGAGGTGCAAAAACATTCAGGCATGGCTCCACGTGGATGAGGCGTTCCAGCAACCGAGGGCAGCTTGTGTGTCATCCATGGGGATGAGCCTCGGGAAGATGGTTTGCACATGCATTCTTGGCAGAGTTAAGCTCATAAAGATCGCTCTGTTTGAGGGATTGCATCACCGCAGGTTTCTGAGTGACTCCGAGCTCAAGATGCATATTTTAAATCTCCCCTGCTGTTGCTGATAATTTGTTCCATATTTACCATATTACTTAGTACTTGTAAATGGAGGGGGGTTTAGAACATAACTGTTAATTAAATTAGATAGCCATAGCCGCTGCAGGCCGAGCTCATCTCTGTAATGCCATTGCAGTCTGTGACTTTAATGTTCAGGATGAGTTTAGTGCTACTGACTTTCTCCTTACATTAATCCATTGGACTTGAAAAGGAATGGAGTTTTTACTTCTGTGTAAGCTCATTTCTGTGTCGAGCTTTGTGCTGGCGTTGAGTCCTAAAGGTTTTCAAAGGATGAGGTTACTGCAACTGTACTGCTTGTTTAAGTAAAGTATGTGATAAATATATGCAATTCTGGACTTGGTCAAAGACAGGTCTTACATCTGCCTCTGTCAAGGTAGGATTTAGGTAAGAATGTAGGTAAAATAAAAGACTTTGTGCAACAGGCTTTCAAAAGCACATTTTCTCAGCTGGAGTTTTTATGGTAATAATTTTCCTTAAAGTAAATTGTCAGACTCCCACAATATCAGAAAAAAGGGGCAGCTCGGAAGAAACTTATCTCAAGCACTGTTCTTCCACGTTCTGCAGGGATTGCATCCAGTATAGCATGTTTAAAATCCATTGAATTAAATGATCGTTACCATTTAGGACTAGAATATCCTTTGCACACTTGATGATAGCTTTCATTTGGAGCAAGTAAGATGTAAATGAGATCCATGCTGTTGGGCCCACTAATGTGCAAGCTGGTGAGAGGTCCATTGTTTTTGTGGCAGTTTTACTGTTTCACTTTTAACATGTTCTACGTTATTTGTGAAATCGGTTCAGAGAAAATGTGTTCAAACAGTGCTGAGGAAAAAATGTTTTAGTTTTGGCAATTAATTATAAAAACAAACTGCAGATTCATTTCAGCATCCACTGAAGCCATGAAAGCCAGAGAGAATGTAGCTGTACTGAGCATCAGCTATCTGATTACACTCCAAGTGTTTTCAGCTTTCATGTTATCTTATTTGAAGTGACAAACCAGTGTCTTTCACTGGTATTGTTCTTGCTAAATGTCTCCTCTATTTGTTGTTTAACCAATTATTTTAAGTTTAATTTGTTGCCAGATGACCAGATTTACCACATACAGATCTGTATTAATGTAAAGTAGTAAAGCATTTCATCCTGTTTTGGAAGTCAGACTTCAGAAGGATCAGTAGAGATCTGTAAGAATGATTCAGGGATTGGAAAATACAATTTAGAGCAAGATACCTTAGCAACTCTTTCTAGTTCATTTAACCCAGAGGTGACTGAGAGCTGTTAGCTTGCGTTCAGTGTGTGTGTTCATGAGGAGGATGTTTCTAATCTTAAAGGTGTCCTAACATTGAAAAGAATCTGTGTTGTAAGAGTGGTGTCTGTCTGGGTATTGGAGCAGTTGTGAGTAGAAATAGGGAATACAATTCACTTTTAGAGAAACTTC